ATTTTATTCCAAGTTAATGGAATTTTAGTACAAATAAAGGAGTAGATACTATCAGATAAATCAGCATTTAGAAAACCTGAAAAGTTTTTAAAAATTAAGATGCCTAACACGCCGTCACACTGATGTTGGCCACACTGCTTTCCCCCGTGGGCACACTACCAGCCTGGGACAGAAAACAGGGGTGTCCTCCCTGTGCCTTGGCTGGTAACTCTGGAAGGAGGAGAGGGCACCGACACTTACTGGGTGTGGGTGCCTGGCCCAGAGACAGAAGGCTCCATTCATGAGCTCCAGCCATCGTAAGCTCCAATTCGGCCATCACTAGGCTTCATTATTTTACCAGGAAGAGGTGATCATTGAGTGAAAATTTACTGGGGGACAGGATATTCACACAATCTCAAAGTATCACTACCACAAAGATAATTTTTAATTGCAAAGGGAAAAATGTACCTTTATATAGAAGAGACCTGGGGACCTCCGACCTTGGCCCAGTAGTCGACCCTATCCCCAACAGTGGGAATGCCTGATGTCACGTGCCTCCTGGTATGATGTAATATGAAGCACACAGCACCGTTTAGGGAGTGTTCTTGCTGTGAGAAAGGTTATCTGAATCTAATAGCTCTTCCAGACAAACTCAGCAAACACAGGAGTCAGCAAAACAGCTCAAACACTGCAACAAGGAAACGCCCAGACAACTCCAGATTATGAAACACGGTACATGACAACTGGCCAAGACTTTTCAAAAAGGAAATCTCATTGAAAAAAGAACTGTGCATGTGCATGCGTAGGGGGAGATTTTTCTAGAATGAAAGTGACTTAAAGAAAGCAACAACAGGATGTTGACTGGGTTATAGTTCTTGAAAAGAACTGAGACCTGTGACATCTGGAGAAGTATGAATGTGGACTAGATATTAGATGATATTGTGAAGTTATTTATTTTCGTAGGTATGATCATAAAACTGTGGCTATATCCTTATTCTTAGGAGGCTCAACTAAAGTTCTTAGAGTAAAGTGTGATGCTTTACTTACCTGAAGATGGCTCAACACCCCCCCCCCCAAAACAAACAAAAAAAACCATCAAGAGATAAAGTACATATGACAAAATGTGAACATTTTCTGAGTCTAGGTGGAGGGCAGTCATTCACTCTATTACTGTTCATCTTTTCCATATGTTTGACATTTTTTAAAATAAAAACTGGGATATGCTGGGAAGAGGTGACCCCAGAAAAAAGTCCCAACCTGAGTGTGTCTCTACACAACATACAAGGAGGTCAGCTCACCATGTGAGAAAACACCAGGGACTATTTGAGATTAAGATTTCAAAGCTGGATAGGCTGGTCTATGGTATTCTGACCTCAGGAAGAAAGCTACCATTTCTCAACACCAGCGGTGTTTTTGTAAAACACTGACACCTTCTCCCAGCTGGCTCGCCCCCAAGTCTGTAACATGAAAAATGCAAGGCGATTTATCCAAGCTCTCAAAGTGCTCGTTTTGTGAGAAACCAATTCTGTCTACACTTCAGCCCAAAGTCTGGCTGCACACAGTGAAGGAGACTTGCGTTCACTGTGATTCACACATCCTGAGAGCAAACACCCCACATGCCAACATACACGCCGGCCAATACTGACCTCTGGCTGACAGCAGGCCCACTAACCTGCACTGGAGCGGCCTGCTGAGTTCCATGGCGCTCAGCTCCGTTCTGCTGTGACTCTAGTCTGAGTGACGCCGTCGAGTCACAGGCTACAGATAAAGCCACCAAAAGAAGGGGAATTGCTCAGCAAGCAGATCATGACAAAGCCTCTTCCTTTAAAGCATTTCTTTCTACTCAGACACCCAGTGCCTTTCAGTGACACCCCAGAAAACCCAGGGTGGGAAGCCCCAGTATAAGCCTCTGAGTTGGTTGAGCTTTCCTAGCTGGAGCCTCTGGCAGGTTCACCAGTTTAACAAGGTGATGCTGACATTGGGACATGCCTGCAGACAGTAGCCTGTAATAGTCTGTATGTTTACATAGCGTGAAGAATCAGCTCCATATGTCACCTGGCACACACACTCTCAACTGCCTGGACCGAGCCGTCTGAAAACCCCCACACAGTGAGCCAAACACCAGGATGAGAAATTCTTGTGAGAATCAAAATCCTCCCTTGAGATGTTAACAATATGAGAAGTCTTCCTCTAGGACAAAATCCTCCAGGATAAAAAAAAACAACACAGTAACTTGTAAATGAAGGAGAAAAAGGTGGTTTTTCTGGGCAGAAAAAGAAACATAAAGACAGTAGTCTGAGAAGTCACTGAAATCAGGGATGGAGAATGATGAAAAGAACCTCACAGCCTGCGTGGCAGAGAAGTGGTTCCATTTCATAGAACAGAGCTGGTCTGACAGGGAAATGAAACAGCTCCTGCACTCAGAATTGCGGGAAGTGTCAGAGAAGAGAGGCCCTGAGCCCACTGCCTGGGGGAGGAATGCACCGGAGAGGAAAAGACCCTGGCTCCACAGAGGACAGGGATTGTTACTTCAGACCGCTCAGGAGAGGAGGCTGTATTTAAAATATGCTTGAAGATAATGATGAACTGATGAAGGAGAGAGTGGCCTCATCCTAACAAAAAAAGGCCTCCCTAAGGGACTGCAGTGGGGACACTTGTCATGGGAACCTGGTGCTCTGGACAGCTCTGCCCAACTGAGGAAACAACGCTGTGACTAGAAGACTAAAAGCCCTGACAACGCTGAGTAGCCCACAGATGTACTTCCTTGAGACCGCCTCCACCTCCACTTCTTTTCCCGAGCAGTGTCATTCCAAATGTACAGCAGCCTCTTAGGTTTCCTCCTCTTCCCAGCAGCGCAAAATGGGAGAGCCCTACAGTTGTATTTCAACAGAACCAAGCTTAAGAGACAAGAAGGGAACTTGCCTGACTGGGTCCCAGTCTGCTGTCTACTTCTAGGTGCGGGGCTAAGCTCTCACTCTCATCTACATTTCTGCATCCAGGGCAGACATACCTCTAAGTCTCTCCAACTCTTCTCCCCATCCCTCCTACTCATCATTGTCCCAGGACCCACTTATCCACCCCCATAAGCTCCCTCCATGTCTAAGCTTACATTGAGCAAGAGATCACTCTCTAGTTCGGTCTTTACATACACAAAGTACCAACGACAGTGGATCTGCACATGCGCTCACACTGAATATTAAGTAAAGAAGCAAGTGTGTCCCTGAAGACTCGCAGGGCCAGCACCACCACTCTGAACACATTCAACTCGGCACGCTTCTCAGCGGTGAGCAACTCTGCCCAGTCATAATCACATTTTCCTCTCTGAATCACAAGTATTAAACTCTAGGGAGTAAGTCAGGCCATCAGCATCAATCAAATCTATGAAAATAGCCAGAGCTAGAGTAAGAAATCTTAGGTTAGAGAACAAAATAAAAACTAAGCCTGCAGTTCCTTTGGAGAGAAAGGAAGGCCAGCTGGAGGAAAGCAAAGTGGGAGGGGAATGAAGACCCACACACAATGTCTTGAAAACACACACAGTTCAAGCACCCAAGTCAGCAGCTGATTTTGGCTATGTAGTCACAAATTACTACTGCGGGAACAAGTGGATATTTACTTGTTTGGCAAGGAAAATAGCAAGGCAAGCAGAGACTAAAAAGAAAAGAAAAAGCGGCAAACACATACACTTGGGCACTTGTTGCAAGACTTATCAAGGCCAGGCAACCAGAAGAAAGTGGTGTCCAAGAACAGCCTCTTCAGGATACTGAAAGCCTGGGAGAATTCACCCAAATAAGCCCTATGTTATAAACAAGCAAAGCTGCTACTCCGACAACTGGGGCCTACGAGACACAGGCACACTGCTGCAGCATCCCTCCCAGGTGCCGAGTCGAGGACTTTCTGCAGGAACTCCCCACTCTGTCCATGTGAGCAAGTGGGGAAGTTCTGAGAACAAGTCATTTTGGAATTAATGCCTCTGTCCAGATAGCTATACCCTTCCTTCCCCCAAAATGCAATCGCAAGGGGCACTCCTAGGCCTGCCAGCCAACCGAAGCTCCTTGTTACTTCAATAAAGAGGATATGCACTAAGAAAATACACAACTGACCCCCACCTGACAGCAGGATGGAACTTCTGGTTTTCCAGAAGGGCCCTCTGGGGCTTTCCTCTCCATCACGAAACTCAGGGATGGGCCCCTGGTGACTCAGGACAGGGATACAGAGACCTCCTAGACCCTCTGCAATCCCCTCCTCCATGAAGCCACTAGGTTGCCTAAGTCTCATGGAAGGAAAGAAATTTTAAATACAAATAATAAAAGTGAGCCGGGAAAGGGAAGAGCCAGAGAGGCCTGAGACTAATTAAGGAAATGTGGGACAGGATGGAACAGGTGGGCCTGCTCGGGAAGAAAGAAAAGAGGAAATGTGCGGAAAAAGAGAGTCGGGGTGATTCCTGCTTCGACCAAAACAGAAAAGAAAACTGGGAAAGAAGGTCCGGGATTGGAGGAGATGTAAGGGAGGAGGTAGTACTGAGAACGCAATGCACGGCTAACAGTCCAGGTATTGCAAGGTAGCGGGATATACATACGAACGGGAGATAGTAAATCTTGAGTGCAGGTGCATTAAAAAGCTCAACATCAAACTGGGGGTTTATGAATGAGAGTTCAAAGCATGGAGGGGAGGCTCAGGAAAGCCTCTAACAGAGGGTCACGGCCTCAGGCCAAGTGAAGCAGCCTTAATTCGCGACAATATGGCAATGGAGGGAGTTTTAGGTATATGAGGAAAGGTGCGTACGGGTTGTACGAGAGGAGCAGGGGTGACCGGTAGCTACAGGCTACATGAATAAAGCCGTAAGCTCAGGATGCTCCCCCTAGTCTGGGAATGCCCAGGCTGGGCTCGCCGGATGAAGGCACCTACGCCATGGGTCGGGGGTCCCCAGGCCTGAACTCTTCAAGCGGGAGAGTGCCCAAGGAGGCGCCTGGCCAGCGACTTGAGGTGCAGGGCCTCAAAAGGGGTGGGGGTCCGGGACTCACGCATCAACGTGCTGAAGGCCACGACGCCAAGCAGCCCCTGCAGGAAGATGCCGAAACTGTGCATGAGCGCGCCGCTCTCGCAGCGGCCCGCCCCGGACGCGACGGTAGAGGGCGGTCCGCCCGGCAGTCCGTGGCTCGCGTTCCCGGCGGGGCCCTGCATGGCGGAGCTGGGAAAGGAGTGGGAGACACCTCGGCCCACACAGCCTTGCTGCCCGCCGGGGCCGTGCCGCCGAGCCCCGAGCCCGGAGCTCGGAGTCCCAGCCGGGAGCCGGTTCCTCCGCCCCGCGGCCCACTCGACGCCGCGCGTAACCCGACGTCTGAGATCGCAACGTCCGATTGGCCGGGTCCGGCGTGGGGGCGGGCCTTGGCCAAGGCTGCTTTCCCCTCCAGGGGCGGGACCTGGGCCGGGCAAGGGGGCGGGGTGTGAGTCAGTTCACAGGTAGGATAGACTAGGTGAGCTCGAAGAGCAAAAGTGAGCCTGAGAGCGGGCTTTGGGACCCAGAGTTCCAGGTCAGTAGGAGCAGGAGCAGGGCGGTCTGTGCCTGAAGTCGTTTTCCCTTCAAGATAATTCCTTTATATCCTGCAGAATAAAATTAAAAAAAAAAAAAAATCCTGGATTCCACTCTCAGATTCCAATGCAGTAGCTCTGAAACGGGGCCGCATAATCCGCATTTTCAGCAAGCCGCCTGGATTATTTTGAAGCTGGTTGTTGAGAAAAACAATCCAAAACTCAGCACATAGGCACATGCCTTCCAATCCAGGCGTTCTGCGCCCCTCTACTTACTTGTTAGTACAGATACCCCAGCCAAAGGCTTATCTTAGAGCCACCAGTCAGGACCTCACCAACTTTTTCTTCGCTAAATGTAATTCAAATGGTCATTCTGTTGAGGAGAGAGACCTGGTTCTTCTTGCTGATGTATGTAAAGAGTTACATTATCAGCAAATCGTCCTTCAGAAGAAAATAGAAGTCCTCAGCTCTGCTAGGACTCTTGCGGTTCCCAGCACCAGCAGCTGTGTCACTGCGATCTCCAATTCTTAATCCGAACCCACGTGGCACCTTCCCGTGGTCCACTAGCCAGAGTCCTTTCTCCCCTTTCTCTGCTCACGGTCTTCGCATAGTTCCTCCAATGGCGTGAAGCGAACCAGCTCTGAGCTCTCAGGCACGTGCACTGTTATGGGGGAGCTGCCAGCCACTTACATCTTGTGTTAAAGTTACGCCCATCTTTCTGGTTAGCCTTGCTGATATGCAAAATAACTATCTTTGCATATGAGGAATAAAGCTATCTGCTGTTACTGACATGCAAAATGAACCCCAAAGGCCCTGCTGTCAGGTATGCAGCTGGCCTGTTATTGATATGCGAAGTAGCTTAATGGCTCTACTCCTCGTCTCCCACCCCTCAAGGCGGCCCACCTTGTGAAGTGGGTAGAATATCCTATATTTTTCTTGGACACCCAAAGTTGTGGATCCCATTACAAATCCCCCCCTTTGGGAGGTCCCTGACTGTACTCCGTTACAATTTCAATACAATAGGAATGTTTATACTGAAAATGTATGTATATTTATTATGAATGTGATTCATAAAAGAAAGTCAACTTGTTAATTTGAGAGACTCCAACAACGCCCTCCACACGAGCACATTTCCTCCCACCTAACCCATTCTGAGTCCTTGGGCTCAGATAGAGGGCTTTCTACCTCTATCAGGGCCTCTAGTCCACATTTCCTCATCTACCCTCCTATAAACCTCTGGCTTCTCTCCAGACACTTCTTGTTGGTGCTCTAGAGTCCCTGACCTTCTTGCTGCATCTACTTAATGATAGTGTACACAAAGTATTATTCCAGTAGACATTGGGCTGTGTTTGTGAAACAACTACCCTACCTAGGGAAATTTTCCCTAAAAGACAGCCACCAAGAAATTCCAATTACTTAAAAAAACAGTTAAATGCTCTGCAAAACCTTTCTTGGTTAACTGGAACATTAACCTCATTATCCAGAGAACAAAAAGGCAATTGGTTCTCTAGAGCCAATTCTCCAGCCCTCTCTTTAAACACATTTTCACACCTCCATACCTTTAAAACGTGGCATTTTCACTGGGTGAAATACTGTTCCCTTTTCCTAGTTCCAAGAACTGCTTACTTATGCTTAAGGCCTGCCTAACCTCCCTCTCCCCACTGTACTTACACATTACCTTGTGTGTGCTGCTCCACTGGAACTTTTCAGACTGCTAAGTTAGTTAGTGGTGGCACTGAGTGTAAGCCTCCCCACCCTCCGGCCCCGCCCCGAAGGCAGGAACTAGTTTTTTTTATTAACCCTGGAATCCAGCATAGTCGCCAGCACAGAGAATATGCAACAAAACGCTTTTTAAATTAAACTGAATTTTAATTTATAAAATTTAAAACTCTCCACAAGTATTAAACATGGGAAAATACAGAAAATCAGGTGAAGAAAATAAATAGGTAAGGGAAATTCGCATTACTCTCTTTAAGGTCTCTTACGAGGATGCTCAACAGTTATAATTCATGTTCAGAGAGAACCAAACAAGAGGATGTGTACTTAAAACAGAATAGACTGTGGTTGGGCATAAGGAGTCTTGATAGCTTGAAGACACAGAGAGCTCAAGGAAAATTGCACACAGAGCTGAAAAATGAAGTTCTTGACAAAGCATTGCTCTGCACATCCAGATGCGGAGGAATCCGTAAGGCCTGTTGCTGCTGTACCAAGGCAAACGTAGTGAAACAAGAAACAGTCTTCAGAGATCAGGAGTGGAGTCCCTAATGCCAGGAGCAAAGTTGCTGTGGGGAAAATTATGCTCTTCCTACCTTTTCTAAACTGCAATAAAAAAAGTACCTAAATCTAAATCTGGAGAGGAGAGACAGCAGGAGATGGGGGAGAATTCTGGAAAGGTTCATTTTATTAAAGTAGGAAGGAACCTTCTCCTCCATTCAGAGATGATTCAGAGGTCCCATTGGAAAGTTTTTTGCAAGATTTGTTACTCTGGCCAAGAAGTCCTCTTGCTGTTAAATGAAGTTAAACATAGCTTAAGACCTGTCTTAATTTTCTCACCACCACTTTAAACTGCCATAATATACCACAAGTTTATATACACTCTTATTTACAAAAAAAAAAAAAAAAAATCCCACGCAAAATATTCATCCAAAATAGTTATTTTTTAATCCCTCGAAATATGTTCAAACTTGCTGGAAATTTTTTCAATAGGTATTCTTGTGCATATTTCTCCTTAAGTATACTTTATCCTCAATGCATGACTTCTAAAATTAAGAGAAAAACATCAAGCAAGGATACAATGCACTATGCATTTCATTTTGTTCCAAACAAGCAGCTTAAAAAAAAATAAAAGGACAACATACATTAAACAAAGTGCATCAGTTCCAAGGAGTTAGTATTAGAAAGAGGCCTAAGGACAGCGCTGGAACCCGCCAGAAGTCCTGCCCTGGCAGGCCTCTGATTGTCTTTAGAGAATACTCAACCCCCCAATAAAGGAAAACAAATGAGTGCTTTAAAATCTCAAGAGAATCACTCAAACTAAACTTCCCTAGAGATTTCTTGCAAAAGGAGCTGAAGAACTGTCCAGTTTTAACTTTGTCTAAACTTTGTAACTGCCCTCAATCACCTCCTTTGTGACCTGATTTGCACCCAAAGCCTACCCTCATCCTTTCAACACAACTTGCCATTCTGTCAAGGTAGGCATGCGGTTAGATTGAACAAACCATGTAGAAGCCCATGGGACTGAGCTTCCACCATCGTGAGAACAGGAACCCCCATCAGCAATGGTGACTTCATTTTACTAGTCAGTATCATCCTTTGCTTCCCACAGCTCAGGGTTACTCTTTACTGCTGGTGTTAAAGACCTGTTCCTGCAAGGCTGTGGCTTGTTTCCCTTTTAAAACAGTCCTTTGTGATATGGTATAGCACCAGGACAGACCCAAAAATTGTGTTGTCATAAAAAACAGAAGGGGAAGAAATTTTAGGGCTGCTTCTCCCTTCCAACCCTCACTCCTGGTTTTGCTGGTTCTTGTGGAAATTTAAGACTTCTGAAACACCGGAACCAAGAAAATCAATTTCCAGTGCATTTACCACCCACCACCTTCTATACCTTAACCCCTAAGGAAGCCCTGAGCAACAAGTCTACCTACATGGTCTGGGACAAGCACCAAGAAAACCCCAAGTGAGCAGAATTGAAACCAGACCTGTTCAGACTGGGCTTCGAGTTTAGAACTCTTCTGCAAAGATTACAAGGTAGCTTACTATTTGGATAAATTCAAATTTCCACAATATGCACATTCTCACATAGTGGGTGGGAATCATCAAAATTCACTAGCAGAACTTTGTAAAGAGAATGAAGTCAAGGAAGAATTATAATTGCATGAATATAATTGATTTCTTTTTGGTTTTGCAGGAGGCCTTTTCCTACAGTTTGAGCCAGCACAATGACCATGACCCAACATCACAAACATTCAAATTTTAAAAGGGTACCCAGTCCCCACCAAGATTTATACTTCACTTGTTAGTGATATATTTTCCTTCATTTTCATAAGGCCAACTATTCACACAGAACACCTGAATTTACACACACACACATAAAATATCACCAATATACAGGACCAGAGTTCAAACCCAGTGTGTACTCCCATGGTTGGGGCTAACTCCTAACAACTCTCTCAAAGCTTCTATGGGCATCAATCAAACAAGCAAATGGTGTCTTTAATATAAAAGTCTTTGGTGATTTGCGCCAAGTAAATATAAATGCCTGTGACAGTTTCCTAATGTCCCCATCTAGATAAATCTTTTACCTACTGTTAACAATTCCCTGATGTTCTCTATAGTCCCTAGAAATACTTTTTGGCTTGAGAGAGGGAAACAGTTCTGAGTCCTACACTACCTAAGGCCTTCTAAAGCTCTTTGTGTTCAGGTATCACACTAGTGACTGAATTGGTACAAGAGAGTAAGTAAAATATAGTCAAGTCCTTGGGAAGCTTTGGTCCTTGTAAAATCCCGTCCCTCACAGTGAGAATAATTTTACTTTCAGGAGAAGGGGCATATAAAGGCCAACTTCTGAACTGGTTTTCTAGGTTTGCCTCTATCATAATTCAATAAATATTTACCAAGAAGCCTATCTTTTCTAGAGGTTGGTAAGTATTCTTTTCTGACCTCATATATTTTATAATGTTGATACTGGGAGCCACCTACATTGCTAAAGAAAACCAGGTAAAAAAACCCCATTAATGCTTTCCCTGCATACGCCACTTCAACTCTGCTTCAACTGAGAAGGATGAGGTTATTTACAGAGGAAAATACCATAGTTCCCACTAGTCAACAAAATATAGTCAAAATGTCACAGCAAATCTTCATGTGCTGTAGAAGTCACATAGCAGTAACAGGCTAATGTTGGTCAGCAGACCTCAAGGTCCAGGAGAATAATATAGTTCATTCACCTGTCTCCAGCTTGTCAATTCAGGATCAGAACTGGATCATGAAAAATGTGCTAACCTCAGGCAGGCAGTGGGGCCAGCTAAAGATGAAATTCAGACAAATGTAGTAGTACCTCACAATGCATCTCTCATAAATGTAAGAAGTTGGTACCTTTAAAAAACAAAGTTCAGCACCTATGTGCAACACGAAAACATTTCACCCCAACATGGTGACTTAGTATCAGGCTTAAAATATGGTTCAGAATCATAGGAATCAGACTGTCAGTGCTGTCCAGCTCAGCCCCAGCAGCTTTATGAGGCAAACGGAATCTAAACTTTATACTCTTTAAAAAAAAAAAAAAAAAAAAAGTTCTATGCCATCTTCCCAAACATGTATCCTCTCTTATGTCCTCTCTGGGAGTGGAGGCTGGGGTTATATACTTCTTCTTTAATGTAGTTGCCTGATAAGCTATATCTCAGTATAAGAATGCAAGAAATACCAAGGAAAACCCTTACTTTTCCAATTTAGAGTCAGCCTCTCCAGGAGAAAGCTGAGCTTGAATAATAATGGTATACTCAGGCAAGCTGGTTAGGCCCTGACTCAATTCAGATCAGACTATTTAGGGCCATTTGCTTCGCCTTTCAGGAGTTTTTCACCCTTTACTTGTGAAAGGAGGTGTCCTAAATTCTATGGTTTCTGGAGATGTCAAAAGAGAAGCAGTACAACATACAGGGTGGGGCAGAAGTAGGTTTATAGCCTTGAGTACACAAAAGTTTATACTTGTATTATTATTATATTATTTTCTACATGAACTGTAAACCAACCCACTTCTGCCCCACCCTGTATTCCTTGTTATATGTGGAAATTCCCTCATAAAAAATAAATCTCATTTCCTAAGACAACAATGTTAATCAATTTCAGACATTTTTTTGTCCCACTGATCTTCAAAGAAACTTTTTTGCCTTGGTGCCTTGACTGCTGAGTTCTCAGGAAACTTTATTATTCAAGCTGCATCTTCCCCTCCAAAGTCTATCTGCTTATAATGCTAATTGTTCCCACGCATCTTTGCTTCTTTTCCATGGACATAGAATTAATCAAATTTTTAAAAACTGGGTCTCTGAACGAGTTTAGGCATATCAATTTCTACTTAAATGAAGCTTCTTTCCAGATATATCTGGTAGTAGACTACACAAAGAGCAGATGTTTTAATACATGGTATGGTCGGAGGGCTTGAATTAAGGTAGTACATAAATTATCCAATGAAGAGAGGATTCAGACTATAGGATGCTTGCCAATGTCCATAAAAACAGGTGGGGAATAAGGGGATGAAAAGGAAAAACAAATCACAATTAGTTTACATTTGTAATGTTTCCTTATATTGGGTTGGCCAAAAAGTTTGTTCCAGCAGTGCTTAGTTGTCTTTAGGCATTTGAAACAATTTGTTAGATTGTATTATGACAGCTGTCATATCAGCATGCATTTTTTAAAAACATCAATATTGATGAAGTTTTGTGTAACCATGTTAATATTGAAGATGGAAGAAAATAAGTGACATTTTTGGCATATTATGCTTTATTATTTCAAGAAAGGTAAAAACACAACTGAAATGCAAAAAAAGATTTGTGCATTGTAGGTTTATAGCCTTGAGTACACGAAGTATATGGAGAAAGTGCTATGACTGATCAAACACTTCGCAAAAGTGGTTTGCGCAGTTTCATGCTGGAGATTTCTCCCTGGATTTCTTGCTCCATGGTTGGATAGACCAGATGATGTTGATAGCAATCAAATCGAGACATTGAGAACAATCAATATTTTATCACACAGGAGACAGACAACATACTCAAAATATCCGAATCAGTAAAGTTATTAGTGAAAATGGAAAATATGTCTTTTATTTTATGGGGAAAAAACTAAACGAACTTTTTGGCCAACCAAATATTTATACAGCTGTTTAGAATTACCCAGCATATAGTTTTAAAACATTTTCAAATCCTAAAGAGGAATAACTATATTACAAATTTGCAGGTGACTAGGATAATTTTTAAAAATATATTCAGCAGAGCAAACCATTCAAAGGAAGCAATCTATGTATGTCTTTCTTCTTTCCTCGTGGCTGGAACAGTATAGCAAATGCTATTATTCTATAATAGCTAGCAGTGCAATCATAACTGACAATCTCCTGGAACTTCATGTCACCTTGAGCTGGATTAAGAAACACCTAAAAGAAAACTCAGTTATTGAGTGGGAATCCTCAGACTATAGATTACAGTCAATTTAAAGATTCAACTAAAGAAAATTGTAAACCTGACTAGGCAAAGATGTTTCCAGAATCCTTAACCACCTCTCAATCTTTACTTAGCCATCTGAGGAAATAGTTACAGAAGCTCCATGCTTTGCATAACCTCCCAAAACCTGTTTCTTCTGTTGTGCTTCTACACTCTCTGCCTGAAGACATGGAGAAAGGAGGGGAAATGGACTTAACCATGAGTCCAAGATATACCTACTGATTTTTAGACAAAGTAAGGACTGTAGAGATGAAACAGATCAACAACTGTGAAGAAAAGTAAACACAAAATAAAAGCCACTTAAATCCCTCTGAAAACTAAGGCAGAGAGAACAATTAAACTTAAATACCAACAATCTTTGTGATACTTTTTAAAACACGTAGGCCAAGTTGAGTCAAGATGGAAAACAATGCCAGTGGAGTCCTTAGATCAGGTCAGTTAAAAAACTGGTATAAGTGCTCACACAATGTTTTTGAGAAAACAATGTCCCCCCCCCCTCAACTTCTGCCTTACTTTTAGTGTTCATGTAGCTTAAAAATGACATCATACAAAAAATCCTCACACATGGCTGCAAACACAATTAACAACAGAGGTAGTTAACAAAGGAACTCCTAAAAACAAATTTTAAACTGGATCAAAGTGTGACTGAACATTCAAAATCCTAGAGCCACATAATCATCCCCAAAAGGAACCTTTTTAATTTTAAAAAGCTCAAAAACACAATGACAATGAAGCGCTGCTTTGCCTTAGGCACGGTCCCAAACTGTTGCTGACTTAAAGCTACGTCCTCTCTTTCCAAGAAAGAGAAAGGAGAGAACAAAGTTCAATCTACAATGGGAGGGAACAGAACAAAAACAACCAAAAGGGTGCTTTCCAGCAGCCTAGATTATTCTTCGTTTAGGTCACACCACTGGAAATGCTTATTTTTCTTATGTGAGTCTTCACAACGTTTATTTTTTAAAAACTGCAATCTGCTGAATGAGAGATGCCCACATTTCCACTGGCAGAAGAGCCACTTCTGTGCAGTTTTTGCCTCCTCACCGTGGGTCCTCCTTCCCTGAAAGTGCAAAGAGAGCAAGTCCACACCTGCAGGGCCCAGGGCCCCAGGACTAATTCAGCTTCACTGACAGAGCAGGCGAAGGATATGCTGCATTTGTGCTTCAAAGATACAGCTTACTTTGGTTGTCCTTCTCAGTTGGCGAACTGCTCATAAAAAGCAAACTTGATCCTCTCTATGTGATGGCAAAGTTTGATGGCAGGGCCTAATTTTAAGTCCATGCACTCTTGAACAGTGGGAAGGGTAAGGAGCAGCAGGGCCTGCCCATCAATTTCCTGTTAAAGCACAAAATACAAATTATCTATGACATGCATGTGAATGATAGCTCGATCATGATTCACTCTGGCTTTGTCAAAATCAGAGTCCCTATGCTTTACTTTCATTACTTTTCCCTTTTGAATAAGTATCACACACTTCCTTTTAGATGCATCTTATACTCCTCCATACTACATATTGAATCTTCAGAATTAATAACCAAGTTTTACCAAGGATAAGAATCCATTCTATGGTTTCTGCTCAGCAGAAATTTAGTAAACTGACAAGCCTTGTAACTGGCAATTAAATGTGCCAAGAGAAACATGTTTTTAGAGGACTCTTTATAAATCTGAAAGTATTAACCATAAACTTCAATGTCCTACTCTGCAACATTCATAAAAAAGCCTGGTAAGTTCTTCAAAGATGTTCAGTTTTGAATCTCCCCAATTATCAAAACAAATTCTATTTCAATATTTATTTAAGGCCTCAGATATTTATTCAGAAAACCTGCTTTAAAATTGATTGCGACCTCAGAGGCTAATACATTACAGATGTTATTTTTTTAAAACGGGCAAATTATTATTTTGGAAATGAGGGGGATAATTAAGCATGGCATACTTAATTTTAAGCCATTTAAATATTTGAGGGACAGAAACAAATTCTTAGGAAAAATGGGGATGCAGTGATAATTTGCTTCAACTATGGTGGAAGTCAGAAAAACTTCTTGACATAGTACTCCTAAGAACAGAACTAAAATAATTTTTTCTTTTGCATGTTAATATTTTTCCCGAGACTTGTACATAAATTGCTATTATACTCACAGTCCTTTGCTAAAGAAACATGTTACTAAGTATTAAAGGTCTTGCCCTGGCTGGCATGGCTCAATGAATTGAACATCGGCCTGCAAACCAAAGGGTTGCTGGTTTGATTCCCAGTCAGGGCACATGCCCAGGTTGCAGGCCAGGTTCCTGGTGTGGGGCACACGAGAGGCAACCACGCATTGATGTTTCTCTCCCTCTCTTTCTCCCTCCCTTCCCCTCTCTAAAAATAAAAAATAAAATCTTTTTTAAGAAAAGGGCAACAAGAAACTATTTTTTTAAAAAAAGAATTAAAGGTCTTGGTGGTTACCTGGTCTAGGAATATTCTCGCTAAGGGAGCGCAGTCAGTGGATCTGATGAACCGCACCACATCTGCTACACTCCATTTCAGGGGGTTACTGTCCAGGTGAAGCCTTTCAGCAACTTCAATCCTTATTTCCTTCATTCCCCAGAACAAAATCAAACCAAATGGTGTAAGAGCTATTATATTCTTAAAAATTCTCTCTATTTAAATCATAGTCCCTCAAGGCAGGATTTAAAGTGCTTTTATGACAAGATTTCTCCCAGCAAAGATGGCAAAAGCCCATATACAGTAGATACTAAAGAAATGTTTGTCTTTTATAATAAGAAATATCAATGGAGAAAAATTTTATCTCAAAGTTTCAGCAGAAATCATATGGACAATTTAACAGAAAAAAAAGTTATTAATTTTCCCATTTGTGCCTCAGTCTATTTCAGCTCACTCTCTGGTAGGTGCTGAAGTGAATGGGATGATATTTCCAATGAGAGATGGACCAACTAAATTATCAGGAGAAATCATTTATGGGTTCTGTTCAAAGACTATATTTAAAAAGCAACCCAGTTTTAAAACACTAACACCCATTCTTTAGTGTATAATGTTATATAATAGGCAGCTATGTATATATGAAATATACTAAACAGGACGGCTTAACCAGAATCAAAAGGATAATTTATTTCTATAAAACCATTCTACTTCCATAAAACCATACACATTATGAAAAATATTAAAAAGGAAGTTTCCCTAAACTAAATGACAGGCTACAAATAAATTAGCAATGAAATATTCTTTTACTTAAGACAAGCAGCCACTCTGAGACCTTCCTCCTGATAAAGTACCTCCAAATAATCCTTGAAACACAACTAAATCACTGAATTTAGAATCATTTAAAGAGACCCAAGAAGTTCAACTGAAGCCTGTACTGAAATAAGTAGAATGTCAACATCATTAACAATTATACTCTAAAGGGAAACTCTAGAGAGGAAAAAAAAAAAGAGAGCGTATTTTAAAAATGGGTACCTTTGGTGAAGGAGGCTTATTCTCATCATCAGAAAATGAAAAAGTGCGAAGCTCTCTTTTTCTCCTTTGTCTGTCTGGAGGCAGTGATGTGGATATCTCACTTTGTGTGGGAGAAGAGGAACATGATTTTTTTTCTGACATTTCTGACTCTTCCTGCAGCTCGTCCTGCTGCTCAGAAGTACTGCCCTCACTTAGGGAATCGTCATCTCCTTCATCTGGGTCATCCTCATCTTCACCCCCACTTCCCTAGAGGAAAAGGAGGAAGGCTCATTGAAATTCAGGACAAACCAGTTCTGGGGCCACAAAACCATTTCCTATTGGCCAGAGATCTGAATTAGAAAGATCTGCAGGTATTCTTCCTGCGTCTGTACTGTAAAGCAGTGATCTCTGGCTTCCAGACTTTACCAGCACATTAGATCTCATACCTGGGGAGAGCCCGCTGGGGTATTATCAACAGATGCAGAGGAGCGTTTCTTCTTATGAACAAAAACATTTTTCCGCCTCTTTCTCCTCTTACTGGCTTTTTTCAGGGCACACGCTAAATTACTATGCCCACCAGGTGGCCTCCCAATTCTTTTACTTTTCTTCTTTCCATAATAGTGTGCTAAATGTGAATGACAAAGAAAAATGAAGTAGCTTCATTATTTTTGTGCACCTAAAACCACAAGAGACTATTAGCACAGCAGAAAACAGGTACACTGCATTTGATTAGAGTTTAAGTTTCATACAGTGGAATAATCTTAACTGTACAGATCTAAAACATACAGTTTGATTAGTACTAATGCACAAACCTGAACAATCCTCCTCCCATCAAGACAGAACATCTCCATCAACCTAAAAGTTTCCCCGGTTCCCTTTCTAGCCCCTTTCCCTTTTACCAGATGCAACCACTATTCTGATTTTCATCGTTATAGGTTAACTTGGCCCATCTGTGGAATCCTTCAGTAGGTACTTTTCAGTGCAAGGCTTCCTTCACTCAGCGTAAGGTTTTTGAGTTTCATCTTTGCTGCTGTGTGTTTGAACAGTCCATCCCTTCACATTGATGAATAGCATTCCATTGTATGAATATATCAATTTGTCTATTGTCCTGTTGATGAGTACCTGGGCTGTTTCCAGGGTTTGGCTATTAAGCTGCAAGGCACATTCTTGTACAAGGCTTTTAGTGGGCACATTATCATTTTCTTTGGATAAATATCTAAAAATGGATTGCTGGATCATATGATAGATGTATGATTAACTTTTAAAGAAAGTACAAAACAGTTTTCTAAAAGGGTTGTATAATTTTATACTCCCTCCAGCAATGTCTGAGAGATACAGGTGCTCTACATCTTTGCCAGCATATAGGGTTGTCAGTCTTTTTCATTGTAGCCAATCCAGTGGATAGGCAGTAATTTCTCAATGTAGTTTAAATTTGCATATCCCTGATGAGTAATGATATGGAGTATGTTTTCAAATGCTTATTGGCCATTTGCATATATTTTTCTGTGAAATGTTTATTCAAATTTTTTATTCATTTTTTCATTTTTATTGATATAATTCACATAACATAAAATCTATCATTTTACAGGGTACATACACAGTGGTTATTGCCATATTCACTATGTTATGCACCCATCATCATTATCTAATTCCAGAACATTTTGTTTCTCTCTCTCTTTTTAAAATTGAGGGAACAGTCATGTAACATAAAATTAACCACCACTTAAAAACACACAGGGTGGAGCAAAAGTAGGTTTATGGTTGTTCATGTATAAAATAATAGGATAATAAATAATAATACAAGAATAAATTGTGTTTTGTGTACTTACAACTGTAAACCTACTTTTGCCCATCCTGCACAATTCTGCGTTATTTTGTAAATTCACAACACTGTATAACTACCAGCTTTTTCTAACTGCAAAACTTCTCTTTTTATTGAATTGTGGGAGTTTTTAGTATATTCTGGAGAATTCTTGGTTATATATATATATATTAAAACTATTTTCTCCAAGACTAGCTTGCCTTTTCATTTTTATAAATGGTGTTATTAAGAACAAAAGCTTTTAGTTTTGATGTTTATTAATTTTTCCTTTGTTAGTGTATTGTGTTCTCTTTGAAATCCTTCACTTACCCCAAGATCTTGAGGATAACCTCCCTGTTTTCTTCTTAGAAGCTTTGTAGTTTTAGCCTTTACATTAAGTCTATGATATAGCTTAAATTACTTCATATTTAATGAGGTAGAAGTCAAGGAGGGTTTTTTTTTTTTCAATTTGTATATCTAATTGTACCAGTGCCATTTGTTGAAAGAATTTTCTTTCCCCATTAAATTTAACTGTGTAAGTTGGGCTCTATTTCTGGACCCTCTATTCAATCCCATCACTCTGCTTGACTTACACTTTCATTAACACCCAACCCTTGATTACTACAATTTTATGGTAAAACTTGAAGTCAGACAGAGAAAGTCTTCCAACTTTATTCTTTTTTTTCAGGATTGTTTTGGTTAGTCTAGATCCTTTGTATTTTCACATAAATTTTAGAATATAGTTATAATTCTAAAATTGAACCTGTTAGATATTAAAGTATTATCAAAATATTATGTAATTTTTGCAAAAAAAAAAAAAAAAGAAGAAGAAGAAGAAGAAGACCAAGTACTGAACAATGAAGGATTTTCTCTTGTAGGGGAGGGGGGTATCGTTATGACTCACACAAGTTTTAGTGAGTGCAACGAGTCCTGAGCAAGTGCTGAGTGCTGAAACATTTTTTTCTCATCAAAATTCGACGAGTACAGGGTTTGACACATACTGAAGCTGATGTGTATCAAGGTATGACTGTAATTCCATTCAATGTCACGCAAATTACTAATTGGGAAAAATTATAGACTCCTAATATCCAGGCTAATTTCAATTATATCATTAAGAAAAATAAATTCAGACAAAAAGCATAATAAAATCCACATATCTTCCAAAGGCTCAAAGTGGTATAGTTATATATACACTTACATGAACAGTATATTTCACTTACCTAATAACTGCAATTTTTTTTGGCAATTTGCTAAACTAAGTGCTGAATCTGACACAACAATAAGCTAAGACAATTCCTGCCCTTATGGAGTTTACAATCCAATAAATATAAATAAAAACTAGATGGTTATTCTTCTTTGATTTGTCATTCAAATACTGATTAGAAAGCTCATCATGCTAAATGTGGAGCTTGGATCAACAGCATCAGTAGCATCAGGTCTGCGGTTACCTGGGCCCAAGTGCATTTCTAATAGACACTTAAGCCCAGGAAACCACAGACCTGATGAATCAGAACTTCCATTTAATAAGATCCTCAGGTAATTTGCATGCATGATAAAGTTTAAGAGGCACAGAATTAGAGATCCCTAAAAGCAATTTTCAAATTTAACAAGGTTAAATCCTCCTCTGTATTAATTCTCCCAAGTGACAGTAGAGCTTATATGATTTAAGGGAAGGTAGGAAAAGAATTTTGTGTTTGGATAACAATGCCTTAGAAAAGTTCCAAACTGGAAATTTCATCCTGTATGACTTTTTTGTTGTTGTTGCTGTTTCACAAGAGAGAAGATACACAATGTGAAGGAACTGGTGTCACTATGACAACTCAGCATGAGCTACACAACTACTCCCTCTTACTATTTACACCTCTCAAACACTTTGGCTTCTTTGCTGTTCCTCTCAGACACTAAGCACACTCCTGCCTCAGGCCTGTGCTCTTGCTGTCCCCTATCCAGAACGTTCTCACCTGAAAGTCTGTGCAACTGGCTCTCTGGCTTCCTCCAGGTTGTTACCTGTCAGGAAGATTCCTTCCTCACTCTCCTACTTTGCCTGTTCAACTTGCTTCATTTTTATTCACAGTACTTAACCTCCCTATATTGTTTACTTGTTTATTATCTGTCTCCCACATTAAAATGTAAACTCAATGAGGAAAGAAATTTTTTTTCAGTTGCTGTATCCCAGTGCTAGAACAGTGGCAGTACACAGTAGACACATAATAAATACTTACAGGTTTTATGAATGATTTACATATCCTAATTCACGCAATAGATAATTTATGTACATGCTTTATATAAAAGGTGACAAAATCTAGCACATGGCCTCTTTGGTATGGTTCTCAAGCTAAGAATGGTTTTCAGATTTTTTAAAGTGATTTTTTTAAACGTGAAAACAAAACAAAACAAAAATATGCAACAGAGATGATACAACCCACAGCCTACGGTTTTTATTATCTGGCTCTTCTCTGAGTAAGTTTGTATACCTCTGTTATGTGTGATTATCCGCAAAATAAAAACTTTCCAGGGTATAAGTATGGTCAGCAATTACAGTTAACAAATTTGAAAAACATGACTCACTGTATTTGGTCTTTGTAAGTACAGAGCAGTTCTCAGAACACTTATCCAGAACCATCCGTGGACCGAACAGATTGGGACAGCATTCCAATTTGATACACGTTTGCCGGCAGAATTCAGTCACCCGATCTGCTGTTTTCACTATTTCAACAGTAGCTCGATAACTCTTTCCTTTGTATCTGCCATTGGAAGACATGAGACACCAACTTTATTGGGCTAGTGATTATCCAGAGAAAAAGCAAGTATATTGATATTTGCTTGTGAAATAGTCTATCTTTTATATTTTTTTATATTTTGAAAACTATGAAAATGATATGGAGTTAATGTATTTTGTACTTAAATTTATAATCTATTGAGCTATGACACCTAAAAGCTGATTTAAATGATCAAAATAAGGTTCCTGCTTTCTGTTCCTCAGCTTAAGGTGTTCAAATAATAACTTATACACTAACTACTAAATGAAAAGTGACTTTCATTACCTCTTTCTTTACCTTAGGGCAGTGATCCTCAGAGTGTGGTCCGCTGACCAATAAAACCTGACAACTGTCACCCATCCATGACAAGATCAGGTCAGAAAACAAGTGTGAATGCTTTTGAACTTTCACAGTAATCTGAAAAAGTAATTCTATGTCTCTTAAATCTAGTAACAAAAAAACTACTGTTAAATTTTATGCCTTTTAAATTTCACATTACCCTATCTTCATTTTTACCCTATCGTCTAAAGCTACTCATTTTACCCTATCTTCTAAAACTACTGTCCATGACAGAATAGAAACATAAAAAAGAAAACCAACCTGGTCCTTCACCACAAATAGTTGAATAAGTACTGCCCAAGGAAACCAAAGTATCTAATATTATCCATGGAAGAGCTGATTCTGTGACCTGTTCAGGATGAATATGGACAAAAGGCAGAAGAGTCTACTCACTTGGCTTTTAGGACTTCCCCACATCCATGCCACACAGAGTCTTTGTCCAGCTGCAGCTCCCGAAGGACACGACTGGGTTTATAGGCTGCATTGATAAGTAGTGTGAGGACCTGTGCTCCATTTTTAAAGCAGACATATGGGTTGGGAAGGAGAAAAACAGACCATTAGAACCTGGCTATCCCCTAGCATGTCGTTTATGGTATTAATTCTAGTCATATTAGTTAACAAATGTTAACAAAATAATAATGCTGAAGATATTGACAGATGATCAAAATTACAAATAAGAGAATAACAGATAAACCCTCTTAAATATTCAAAACCACTATGGTCAGAAACAAATACACAACATGAATTTAAAATTACTCTAGTATATGCTTCCAAACCCTTTCCCAGTCATGGTATACTCAGAAAACTGTATTTGTTTGGGACTCTCTGCAGATGACTGAGCTTTCACGTTGTTGGAGTGGTCTGGCCCAGAAGCTCCAGCCTCCCCAGACCCTGCCTTGCCACCCTAGGGGTTGAACAATTCAGTAGTCCCCATTTCTGTTACCTGCAGTGCAGCACCCTGGCAAGGAAGCTCTGCAAGTCCAGGAGATACATAGCTTTATCACGGTCCAGGTTAATGCCACACAGTCTCTCAGTCATAGAATGACTATTCTCATGTCCCCACTCTCTCAGGCAATCCCCTCACCATTGTTCAAGTCCATGGGTCATGCGTATAAGTTCTTTGGCTACTCCATTCCCTATACTGTACTGTACATCCCCATGGCTATTCTGTAACTACCTATTTGCACTTCTTAATCCCCCGCACTAACCTCTCATCTGGCAACCATCAAACGCTCTCTGTATCCATGATTCTGTCTCTGTTTTTGTTTGCTTAGTTTGTTTTTTATATTCAATTGTAGATAGATACATATTTTTTGCCATTTTACTGTTGATATTTTTGATCTTTTTCTTAAATAAGTCCCTTTAAGACTTCACATAAAAATGGATTGGCAATGATGAACTCCTTTAGTTTTTCCTTGTCTAGGAAGCTCTTCATCTGCCCTTCGACTCTAAATGATACCTTTGCTGGGCAGAGCAGTCTTGGCTGTAGGTCCCTGCTTTTCATGACTTTGAATATTTCTTGCCAATCCATTCTAGCCTGCAAAGCTTTTTTTGAGAAATCAGCTGACAGTCTTATGAGAACTTCCCTGTAGTTAACTAACTTCTTTTCTCATGCTGCTTTTAAGATTCTCTCTTTATCTTTAACCTTTGGCATTTTAATTATGATGTGTCTTGGAGTGGCTCTCTTTGCATCCATCTTGTTTGGGACTCTCTGTGCTTCCTGGACTTGCATGTCTATTTCCTTCACCAAATTAGGAAAGACTTCTGTCATTGTTTTTTCAAACAGATTTCCAATCTCTTGTTTTCTCTTCTCCTTCTGGCACCCCTATCATGCAAATGCTGGATCGCTTGAAGTTGTCCTACAGGCTGCTTATACTACCCTTGTTTTTTTGGATTTTTTTCTTCTTGCTGCTCTGATTGGTTGTTTTTTGCTTCTGTGTGTTCCAAATCATTGATTTAATTCTCAGCTTCATCCACTCTGTTGTTTCCATGTAAATTGTTCATTTCGATTAGTGTATCCTTTGTCTCTGATTGGATCCATTTTATGCTGCTGAGGTCCTCACTAAGCTCCTTGAGCATCCTTACAACCAGTGTTTTTAACACTGCATCTGACAGACTGCTTATCTCCATTTTGTTTAGCTCTTTTTCTGGAGTTTTTATCTGTTCTTTAATTTGAGCCATGTTTCTTTGTCTCATTTTGGCAGCCTCCCTGTGTTTGTTTCTATGTATTAGGCAGAGCTGCTTTGACTCCATGTCTTGGTAGTGTGCCCTAATGTAGGAAATGTCCTGTAGGGTCCCCTAGCACAGCCTCTCCTATCACCCAAGCTGGGTACTCGAGGTGTGCCCTTCGTGTGGACTGAGTGCACGCTCCTCTTGTAGATTAAACTTGGTTGCTGTTGGCAGAACAATGGGAGGGATTTACCTAGGCCAGTCAGCTGCAAGGATTGGCTGTGACCACTGGTCACCAACCTCCACCCCCTGTGGAGGATCAGCTGTGCAGGGTTAGGTTGGTGGCGCTCCAACGTTGTCCACAGCTGTCCACTGAGTACGCTGGCCCTGTGGTTTCCTTGGTGGTGCAGGCCAAGTTCAGCCCACACATGTGTTTTGCCCAGGGCCATACTGCATGAGCTATAGAGCAATCAGAGATGGCTGCTACTTGTGCTATGCTCAGAGATTCCCAGGTGAAGCCAAGCTGTGAATCTAGGCTGGCTGCTGCTAGTGCTGGGCCTGAGCTTCACTGAGGCCAGCTGTTGTCTATTTGGGAGGATTTAGGAAGTTGTGAAGGATCAGCGAAGACCAGCCATTCATTTGGAAAAGCAGCGTGGGCTTGTAAGTTGGGGGGGGGGGGCAGAGTCTCTGCGGATCTCCAAGGCCAGTCAAACAGTATAAGCCAGGTAAATGCAGTCTCAGCTATATGGCACCAGCTTACTGGCTCTGTGGGTGGAGGGTTTAGCAAATGGAAAACAGCCCCTGCTCGCCTTGATGCCAAACACTTCAGTTTCTTACTGTGTATCACTAGTATACTTTTAAGTTGCTACCCCAGTGCTGGAGCTCAGAGGAAGTGAGTCCGAGTAGATGAGTCTGTGTGTGAGTTCTTTAAGAGGAACTGCTTGGGGCTCTAGAAGTTTCTTCCACTGACTCAATCCCCACTGGTTTTGGCAGCCAGAAGCTGTGGGGACTTATCTTCCTGGCACTGGAACCCTGGGCTGGGGAGCCTGGTGTGGGGCTGGGACTTCTCACTCCCGAGATATCCCTCCCAAAATTTTATCCATCTCACGTGGGTGTGGGGCAAGCCTGTTCTGAGTCTGTGCTTCTCCTACCAGTCTGGATGGATGTTTCTTCCTTTACTCCTTGGTTGTTGGACTTCCATGTTCGATGTTCTGGGAGTTCTGGTTGTTTTTTTGTTTTTAAATTGGTTGTTAGCTTTTTGGTTGTGTGAGGGAGCGAAGCATATCTACCTACACCTCCATCTTGGCTGGAACTCCTTTTTAATTGTAATTTTGAAGTGGTTGTGTGAAGAGGCAAGCCATGTCTGCCTATGCCGCCATCTTGACTGGAAGTCTCTCACTCACTCTTGCAGTTCTCATGTGGTCTCTGATAGAAGACCTTGCTATCCTGACAGAGGTGAGCCTGCTATGTAAAGAACTGCTTAGGAAAAAAATGTTCCCTGGGAGAAAAATAAATAATTACGTGTCCAGTTTATTGTCCAACATGAAAAAAGTTAATCATTGATGATAAAACCTAGAGTTGTCACATCTATGGCATACAGATAGGTCCTTGAATGAATGAGTCAATGAGACTGCTGTAAAATTTCCAAGTTCTTTGCTCTAGGTCAGAACCTTACCTCTCTGAGGACCAGGACACAGTTCCCAGGTCCTACACATTGAGGCAGCTCAGCGATTCGTCCTTTGTTAAGGTATGGCCCTGAGAAGCAACGGTGGTTGAAGTATATCTTTGGACAGCAATATTTTCCATTAATCATAACTGGGAAATGAAGAGAAACAAATAATTAGAACAGAGTAATTTTCCAAACTGCTTCCAAAGTTTGATTACTGGGAAGAAAACAAGCATATTGACCATTAAATAAAGTTAGAAATTACATATTTTGAAGCTTAACATGTCACCTAAGAGAGCCCTTAAAATATCTGCAACTCTATTATGGAGCTTATCACTCTGCTGAAGTAAGACAACATCCTGAATTATATCCAGGTTAACTCCTAGGTTAATGTGACATTGTTCCAGAACCTTACACTTCTATCAATAAAGAAAACAGAAGATTTACGTCCAGAACCCATGATGATACCTGACAACCAACTATCCAATAATCTAGTCTGGAATATTGCTAGGGAGTGATGGTGAATACTATCTAGAATCACAGTTTGTCCCCTGAAAACCACGAAACTAGTATGATGGCAGCCTTTGATGCTGTAGGCTCCCTTCAATTTCTGGGATTTCTCAGAGGGCTGAAAGTACGTGTGATCACATCTCTAAGTTCTTTAAGTACTGTGGGGTATAACTGGGCCTAGAGACCCCTCTTTTCAACTATTTTTCTGTATGAACACTGTACTTCAATATAATATTTTTAAAATCTCCTCATTGTGGTTAGCAATTCAGTTACTGAATGTAAAAAATTCAAACACACTAAAACATCTTCATTTTCATATCAAGCAGAGAGAAGCTCCTCTGATGGATATTGTTAGCCAATGTTAAGGAAAGGAGATATGTGTACTCTGCCCACTGTTGACAGGACCCTGAAGTACCTAATGTTCGCCTCAAGTGTTATCTTAGCACAGTGGTCAGCATGTTGGTGTCCACTTCTCCATTTGAACTCTACCATTCGGATCCCTCTTTCCAGGATTAAGGCATTTATGCTCCCTGCAGCTGAGAATGTTGGCATTTTTAGCTCTCAGTTTAAGTCTACCCTGGAATTACCCTCACTCAACCTAGAACTGATCTCAGTAGGAGAGAGCCACCCTGCCGAAGATCCCACCCTTTATGAAGTGCAGAGGGAGCAGCAGCCTATTTTCAATAACTGCCTCAATTAGGGCAGACTCTGAGTGGCTATACCAGCGCCAAGGCTCCGTGTGGGACTGGAAGAAACTTCTGTTAACAGTGAATTGTGGCTTGACTTCTTCCTTTGCCCAGTCCTGCTTCCTTCACCCGTCCCAGGTGTTGTTCCTAAAAGCATTCCCCAGTAAAAGTCCTACATGTAAATAAGAGCCTCAGACTCTTCCCGAGGTGACCAGACCTATCATAAAACCCAAACTTGGCTGTGGTCATTTGAGAGATATTAATGTCTTAATCCTGTAGTTTCAGTAGGCATTAGAATGGCCAGTAATACATTAAAGGATTTGCACAGCCCTGATTCTCTATGTAAAAATGATAAAATGAAAAGGCAGTGGGTAGAAGAGAAAAATACAGGTCTGGAACTTGAAAAAGATTCAGGTTTCATTAGATTCAAGTTCCATTGCTGACCCTTCTACCCATAAGCTGCGTGATCTCTTCAAGTTTTGATTTCTTTTCTTTTCTAGACATTAACTAAAATACCATCCAAATGCCTAACCTGTGCTAGAACACATACAGCCAAGGTGCTAAACATAATACAACCAGCAAAGGGGGCGTCAAGACTAGTTCTGGAGAGAGACTGCTGGACAAAAGATTTGGGCCTCCAGAAAAAAGAGTCCTATTCTCATTTACCAGGCAATGGGGTAATCTGTTTTTCAAGTGCTTTATTTTTTTAAAGTTATAAAATATATATGCAAACTGTGTATATCATAAAAAGAGTTTAAATAGGAATAAACTTCCACCTCTTAATCACCCTGCTTAAGAAAGAGCACTGCCTGGAAATCCTGTTTCTTTATCTAAACCCAGGGATAATAATATTGACCTCTGGAGCCCCTGGTACCCAATAAGTGATCAGTAATGAATAGCTACAATTATTATAAATAGACAGAAATGTAATCCTAAAGATCATTATTAATAAGTACATCTTAGACAATTATAACTCTTTAAAATCACAATCAAGAGAACCCTCTCTGAAGCTACATCCTATAAATTAAATGTATTGTTTCATTTTAGATATACTCTATTAAAAGAAACTAAAGGTCCTCTTTTCCCTAAGAACGCATACACTTATACCTGAGTCAGTGGAGTTCAGCTCCTGGTTCTTCAAACCCTCGTGGACAGTCCTTGAAGATGGTATTCTGTGTCAAAAAACAAACAAAGAAAAAAAAAAAAACCAACAAAATAGTAAGATAATCCTTAAAATCAGTAAAGCGTAAGAGTTTCCTTCAAATCAAAGAAGAAAGCAAATGTGGCAGACTGAAAATTCTGTAACAGAAGGTGCTTCCTTGAGCATACTTTTTTAAAAATGGCAATTATTTTTTTAAAACTATGCACACAGTCTAAGGAGCCAACAGTCTAAAAAGATGTGATACTACATGTTCAAATAAACTTTCATGCATGTGAACAATAATTATATAATTCCTTCCTTCTGGGATTCTTAAAACACAAGTAGACTATTTGTTAACTGTCAAAGAATGGAAACATTTTTAATACAGGGTCTTGTTTTCTTCCATCAGTTTCAAAATTAAAAACAAATTATGTTATTAAAAAAGAGTATTACTATATTTGCACCAATCATTGAAAAAAGGTTAATTTATTTTTTTAGAATACCTTCTGACTAAATCTGTGGACAACCAAGTCAAGGAAAAACCCAAAGCCATATTTTTGTCCCTACCTCATTTGGCCACCTTGAATAGAATTCTGTGGCCCTTCTCTCTACTTCTTCAGGCAGTTTTATTACTCACATAGCCACAAAAGCAGCTATAAATTATACAGAATTTGCTATAACCTGAATTGTGTCCCTGCAAAATCCATGCTGAAGTCCTAATCCCCAATGTGACTGTATTTGCAGATAGGGCTTTTAGGAGGTATATAAGGATTAGGCTGTAATCCAATAGGATTGGTGGCCTTATAAGAAGAGGAAGAGAGAAATATCTCCTTTCCTCTTCATCCTTATCATGTGAGGACACAGTGAGAAGACAGTCTGTAAACTAGGAAGAGAGCCCTGACCAGGAACCAAATCAGGCTGGTCCCTTGATCTTCCCAGATTGCAGAGCTATGAGAGCTATGTATGATAGCAAATATTTTTTCAGCCACCCAGTCTGTGGCATTTTGTTATGACAGCCTGAGCAAATTCATACAAAACTGAAAACCCAATGTTTTAAAACACATGTGTACACACAGAAACCCTTGTACTTTTAAGGCAACACTGACCAATTGCTTCTCAAAAGCTGTGCAGAAAGGTATGCTACAAAGGGTCTCCTGATGAGATACAAAGGCAAACCTTTCGTACGCCTTTTCTTTTAGTCTGGTCTTCTAAATCAAGTTCTTTATCACTGTAACAGATAATATCCTAATTTACACTTTTAGTTCTTCCTTAACAAATTCCAGCATTGAGACTCTATTTCCTCTTACTCAAATGACTTCCAGCTCTAAAAGTGAAAGAAAACTCAAGTTGGGGAACATCTTGAGAATGGATTTTACCCTTCTGTATATAATGCCATTTTAGGAAATGTATATACTGTAAGAAGTATGTAAACTATCAAAAACTGAATTAAAGGATTATGATTCTATCTGAGAAAATAACATACGAGGAGATATACCCTCTTAGTTATTTCTTTTTCTAGACATTCTAAACTTCCAAATGTCAGCTGTTTAAACATACTATTACATTACTTACTGTTTTTCAGGTTGAACCACTGCAATTTTCCTCTGCTTATGTACTGTAAGAAGAAAACAAAAATGTGGACATCAAGAAAAATTAAAAGACAGAGAAAGAATTATATATGCACTAAGATCACATTAGCATATTTTAAACCTGGTTATATACGTCTAACTAGCAAGTACTTTAAATAAGTGCTGACATGTCTAAATATCTAGAATAAAGCACATTTTCTAAGTCTTTAAACAATAATAATATTTTTAAGGCTCCCTGGGTCAATCAACTCCTATGAATATTTTCTAAGCAGGGATATTCAAAAGAAAAACTGATTTAGACAAGGGTGCCAACACATTCAATAGGGGAAGTAGCCTTTTTTCAACAAATAGGACTGGGAAAATGGAATGTTAACATTAATGAAGGTGGACCTTTATCTTACACCACATCCAAAAAGTAACTCAAAGTGGATCAAAGACCTGCACAGAGGTAAAACTGTAACACTCTTAGAAGAAAACAGGGGAAAATATTTATGATGTTGGATTTGGCAATGATTTCTTGGGTATAACCAGAAGTATAGGCAACAAAAAATAAATTGCAATACATCAAAATTTAAAACTGTGTATCAAAGAACACTATCAAGAGAGGTAAAAGCAACCCACAGAATGGAAGAAAATATTTGCAAATCATGTATCTGATAAGGGGTATCGAGAACATATAACAAAATCCTATACAACTCAACAACAAAAACACCCAATTAAAAAATGGACAAATGACTTGAATAGGCATTTCTCCAAAGAAGATACATATTAATGGACAATAAGCACATGAAAAGATGCTCCACATAATTACTCATTAGGGAAATGCAAATCAAAACCACTGTTAAGATACCACCCCAAACACACCAGGATGACTATTACAAAAAACAAACAAAAATCCCCAGAAAATAAGTGTTGGGGAGAATGTGAAGAAAGTGAAACCGTCACATATTCCTGGTGGGACTGTAAAATGGTGCAGTTGCTTTATAAAACAGCCTGACAGTGTTAAACACAGAGTAATATACTCAAGTGAAATGAAAACCAAAGTCCATATAAAAGTCTGCACACAAATGTTCATTACCAACTTTATTCATAATAGCTAAAGAATGGAAACAATCCACTGTCAGCTGATGCATGGACAACAAAGTGTGGCATAACAATGAAATATTATTCAGAAATATAAAAGAATGAAGCATTGTCCTGGCTGGTGTGGCTCAGTGGATTGAGTGCTGGCCATGAACCAAAGGGTCACCAGTTCAACTCCCAGTCAGGGCACAAGCCTGGGTTGAGGGGAAGGTCCCCAGTAGGGGGTGCATGGGAGGCAACCACACATTGATATTTCTCTCCACCTCTCTCTAAAAAATAAATAAATAAAATCTTTTTAAAAAAATAAAAGAATGAGGCATTGATATATACAAAATGAATAAACTCTGAAAACATTACACTAAGTAAAACAAGCCAGTCACAAAAGACCACACAGTGTATGATTCCATTTATAGGAACTGTCCAGAACAGGCAAATCTATAGAGGTAAATTAGATTAGTAGTAGCCTAGGGCTGCAGGGTAGGAGATAAAGAGGTAAGAGGTAATGCTAAGGAGTCTAGGTCTCTTTTGAGACAATGAAATGTTCTCAAATTGACTGTGGCAGCAGTGGCATAACTCTGTGAATGTACTAGAAACAACTGAATTGTATATAGTAAGAATTCCCTCAGCATCTTCAATAGATTCTGCAACCTCAAGCGAAATGACATATAAAACCAGTTCTGCCATAGACTAACTGATATAAACAAGAGTTAAGCTCCTATGGCATCTCATCAACATGCTAACAAAATGACACTGAACAAAACAACGTTATTTGAAGACCTGCTGTACTTTAAAACACCAAATTTTTTTGTTACATAAATCACGGGTCCCCAACCTGTAGGCTGCAGACTGTTACCTGTTGGGGCCTATTAGGAACAGGGCTGCACAGCAGGACATAAACTTCAATGTAATGCACTTGAATCGCCCCAAAACTATCCTCCCCAACCCTGTCTATGAAAAAAATGTCTTCCACAAAACAGGTCCCTGGCATCAAAAAGGCTAGGGTCCACGGATATAAATGATATCTCAATAAAGTTGTTTAAAGAGGGAAGGTGTGGGTGAATCCCTTTTAACATCAGGTTACAGAAACACTCCGCCTTCCACCTTGCTCAACCTCTCTTTCTTTCACTTGTTGGTTGATAGAGGCCCACTGCCACGCAGTGAGCTCCCCTATAAAGAGGCACACATGGCAAGGAACTGAGGGAAGCTTCCAACCAACAGCCTGCAAGAAACTAAGGCTCTTGGTCCAACAGTCCATGAGAAAATGTATTCTTGCCAACAATACTCTACGTGAACTTGGGGGCAGATGTTCCCCCAGTAGAGCCTTGAGATGACTAGGGCCCTTGGCTGACACCCTGATTGCAGCCTTGTGCGAGACGGATCCAGAGGGTCCAGCTAAGTTGTGGCCCAGATTCCTTACCCAACAGAAACTGCAGGATAATAAATGTTTGCTGCAATAAATAATATCCTATGCAGGAAGTGATAACCAGGACTTCATGCTGCTTTTTTTCTGAAATGTCCAGAAATAAGTACCTCGTGCTCGACGAGGAGTGCTGAGGGGATGGCCATTGGTTTCACACCAGCCCAAAGGAAATATATCCATGGATTCCACACTCACAATACATTCCGGTATGGGCTTCTTAGAACCTGTTTAGATTTTAAAAAAGTTGTTTTAGACCACTGAATACAGTTCTTCATAAACTATTCCCTAGATAATCAATGTTCTACTGTTGCAATAAGAGAGACAAAAAGTCTCTTGAACAAGTTCCTTTTACACAAAAGTCATACTTCTTCATGTGTGACAAACATTAAGGAAAAAAAGTTAACTTTCATGCATAGCTGTATGAAGACCAAAATGGGTAGTGAATATACAGGGCGACCCTTAGTTAAGGAACTAAGTAACTATGTAACTAAGGAGCAAGTAAGTAACTGAACTACCAGGAGTATCATTCAGATTGTTGACAAATATCAGTCAGTTCCATGAAATAGTTGGAAAACAAAGGCAAAAGTGACAGTTCCCCTCAATAAGAACATTAGTTCTGGTACTTGGAGACAAGCCAGAAGGTAGATCAAGGAATTCAAAGTGACAATGGCAAGTTGCTCAGCAGAGGTTAAAAAATACCTAAAAATCTATATTCAATACTGTCCGCGATAGCTGTATCAAATGCCAATTCTACAAACTGGAAACATAGGTACTGAGTCTAATTGGCAGCTCAATAAAAAGGAAACCCAGGCCACATACTGTAACTGCAGCGCTGAGTACTCAGCCAATGCTCTGTCTATAAACCTGTCCAACTGTTGAATATTACTCTTAATATAATATCTTTTATTTTACATTTTTTGGTTCTCATGAATGGGGACAACCAAAATATCATCCCTTGCATAAGCTAGTTGTTGATGTTCATACTCATATATTTTGGTCAGATCAAAATATATGCTATTTGACTTACACTTTCCCCTTCAAGAAAATAGGAGACTCTGTAATAAAGGGGTTTTATTCACATTCATTTCCTAACATTTTAAAGTCAAGGGTAAAAAAAGAAAGTTTTAGCTTAGAATCTTGCATTATAAATTAGAAGCCTTTAAACAAGTCCCTTTTTAGCTAATTGATTAAGTCTAACAAACCACATTTCAGGGGTGAACAGAAAAGGCAAAGGGCAGCCACAGGAAGGCTTCCTGGGGATACTGGCACTTACCCTCCAGCTGGAGCCACAGGTAGGATCCTCGCACTGCAGTAACGGTGGCAACACACACTTCCTCAGGAAGAAGGGGGTTCACCGCCTCAAGCTTCATGTTCTCCTTAAATTCATGCTCAGAAATTGACTAAAAAAATAAATTAATCAAATCTAAAACATACTAAGTATTTATTTATATGCTAATCTAAGAGAACTTTTCCAAGTATTACTTAATCCTAGAGTAACTTTAAGGCTATAAATTTACTTTGTTTTGTTTCTTAATGAAGCAGAGAAAAAATGCCTGTCCTCTCGGTGTTACAGGCAGTCTCTGAAGTCAGATATACTTGTATTACTGCTACCTGAGTAACACTGCTCAAGCCACACATCCTCTTTTTGCCTCAGTTTCCTCGTTGGTCAGATGTCATTGAGAACACCTGTCTCACTGGGTCGTTATGAGGTTTCAATAAAAAAAAAAGGACCTAAGGCTCTCTGCTCTGAACCAAATGGCTTTTCACCACTTTTGGTTCACTGTCCCTCCCATAAAGAGCCTTATCATATAATAAACCACCTGATTCCTACTGCTATGTGTATCATAAAAAGCAGTCAGGGTAAGTAATGCTTATGAGTAAAGGAAAAGGGTCATTTAAAGTATGTTTTAAACATTCGTTGCTTTTGGATCAAAATAAAGAACTGAATTTCTGTATTTGACTATTCCTCTCTTCCTTATGACAATTCACTAAAGTTAAATTGTTTCTTTAAAAGACATCAACCTATTAGGATAAAGAGGAGAGGAAAACAACAGCATTTTACGAGCTAAAATTTAGAAATGTTTAAAACTAATTTAGCGGATTAAAGAAAAGTAAATCTAAGCTGATAGTGAAGAGAGCTAAGAACTGGCAGAACCAGGGACGAGACAACTACAAGTAGAAGTGAAATAGTTAAAATAAAAAGATTTGTTGAAATTTAGGTCATGCCATCAGCTCCTCCACTCCACACCTCAGGGCAACTGTTCCTGCCCCTCCCCTACAGAAGATGAGATTTCTCCCCCAGAGAAGGTAGCACTCAAGATTCCCAGGCAGAAAGACAAAGTAACTATTGAGGGTATGCACGCAGTGCCCAAAATAGGGGTTTGCATAGGGAATGTGAGAGATCCAGCCCTTGCCTCTACTCTTTAGGCAAGGAACTAGAAGAGACTTCTTGTTGGTAACATGATAAACCCAAGGAGAAACACATAAAAATAAGGATTATGTGTCCCCAACGAATGACCAGCCACATCCCACCAGATAGGGGAGTTCAAGATTGACAAGCCCCACCAATATACTCAGAGCTTTCTATCGGCTTTTTCTTTTAGTCTCCCATTTTTAAATACAGGCAAACAACCAAGAATTGCACAACATCTAAAGATGTGAAAGCTAGGGATCAAAACATACAAAGCAAGCAATTTGGAAAAAAACAGATTATGCAAGAAGAAAACTTCCTAAAAGGCAAGGATAATTAACATCCTCCGAGTGATAAGAAAAACTATCACATCCTTAAAACAAGAATAATATGCTATTTAAACCAAATATTCAGAATGGAGTTCTGGATATCAAAACCATGATATTAAAAATTAAAAACTCAAAAGAAAGGTTTAAAGATAAAATTTAGGGAATTTTCCAGCAAGCAAAGCAAAAAGACTTAAACAGAAAACAGGAGAAGAAAAGTAAGAAAAGTAGAAGTTTGATCCAGAAGCCCAGCATACAAATTAAAAAAAAAAAAAAAATTGTAGGAAAAGAGAAGAGAGAAATGGAAGAAAATCAAGGAAGAAATTCAAGAGAACCTCCCAGCGCAGAGCGATGTGAAAACCCAGCATACAGATGAAGACAGGCCACACCACAGCTTGTCACTGTGAAACATGATGACAGAGATTCTATGACTTTCCAGGGAGGAAGTAAGAGGCAGGTTGTCTACAAAAGATCAAAAATAAAAATGGCTTTCAACTTCTCTGGAAGGTAGAAACAGTAACACTGGAAGGTAGAGGACAACTGAGTAATGTTTTCAAAACTCTCAAGTAACTTCTGACCGAAAATTCCACACTGAGCCAAACAATCAGTCAAGTTAGTAGAATGAAGACATTCTCAAACATGCAGAGACTACAAAAATTTACCTCCCTTGCATTCCATTTCAGGAAGCTACTGAAAGATGGGCTCCATCAAAACAAGGGAATAAACCAAGAAAGAAAAATGAGGCCATAAAATATACCAAACAGAAAGGGGAGAGTCAATTCCTTGGGTGGTGCTGAACGGCAGCTTCCAGAATTAAAACTACACTGCAAGCCTAGAATGCAGAGAGAAAGGAGGTTGCTAAGAGGAATCCCTAAGAAAATATTAGAAATAACAGATTTCCTACATCAGGAAAATCAGTGGCCATGGATGTGAGAAAAAGAAAACATGGCTAGAGAACGCACTGTATTTTAACCCTTCTACCCTAAAACAACAACAAAACCCTTTAACTAGAAAGAAAATACACAGGTCTAGCTAGACCTAAGACTTCTGGGAAATACTAAAGGGCTGCTGCATGAGTATTTGACTCCAAACATAGGACTATGACCCAGGCACAGGGGCAAAGGTGCTTGTGTTCTGCACAATCATCTCACTCAGGACCCACTTCCCAGGTGGATGGAGCCAAAGCCACATGTGCTAATGGAGGAACTTTAGACACCTGCAAAAATGGTTGGTTGCTTGAAAATTTTGTGTTCATATTGTTTCAAAGTATCAAAGTTGTAATTCTACTGAAAAATAACAAAGTTTATGTTAGGTGCAGTTTATGCAAGAAAAAGCTCGAGGGAACACTAGTTGACAATCTATACTCAAAGGAAAAGCCTTACCAAAAGATTAACAAGTAAATGTGTATTTATACATCTTAAATTAAAATAGACTGTTTCATCAAAAAGAGGGTTCCCTGACTCATCTGACTTTCAATTAACCCACTAATTACCTGTCTGATAGATAAGGGAACTTCTGCATATATTATCCATGTCTCTTCCATCTTTCAAATATATTGTTTCATAAGGGAGGGGAATGACAGATTTCCTAACGTGACTGCCTTTGTGGAAATAGTTACAGAGGCTACTGGGAGGTGTGGAAAACTAGCAATAAAACAAAAAAATTAAACTATAAAAACAAGGACCAATTAAAAAAGGAAACAATCATAAAATACTCCGGTGCTCAGCTGTGAATAATATCCAAACACACATGATAATGTAACTATTCAATTCAGATTTAACCAAAAATTGTAATATAACTCTAATAGAAGGAAGAGCTGGTAGTAGGGGTAAGACAGAAGAGAAAGGTAATATAAAATAGCTAAATGCTTATTTACCATAATGCAGAACAATAGACATGTTTAAAATTAATGATTCAAAAGATAGCAACATTGTTTTCAAAATAAGAAATATATCAGAATAACAGTAAGAAGAGTAGGAAGTGAGTACTTGTGGGAAGGGAGACTGTGCAAAAGGACAGAACAGAGAACTGTTGTTTTATGTTCGAAAGCTTTTTATAGTGGTTTTGCTTTGTAAACCATGTGCATGGTTTTAGTTTGATAAATACATTATTTATTATTATACTAATATCAATAATAATATCAGCCCTAGCTGGTGTGGCTCAGTGGATTGAGCACCAGCCTGCAAACCAAAGGATTTCCGGTTTGGTTCCCAGTGTAGGGCACATGCCTGGGTTGCAGGCGAGGTCCCCAGCAGGGGGCGCAAGAAACGCAACCACACATTGATGTTTCCCTCTCTTCCCCTCTCTAAAGATAAATAAAATCTTTTTTAAAAAATCAATAATAATATCATTACTAAATAAGTTTAACAATTTTTCTCCCCTTAATATTTTTTCATATTATTGAACCATCAAAAATAATTATGACCTAAAATTTTAAGTTCACACTTCACCTAATAAAAAATAAAACTGACAAACTTTAAATACTAATTAACAAATTAACCTCAGTAGTGAATGGATTTTTCCTTGCACCACTGTATTACAATCAAGATGATTATTTGAGTTGAGTGAGAGAACTGACTTCAGAGTAATACTCAGAAAAAGCACAGGAAGCAGTTCCTAAGCATTGGCCATGAGGGGCTAGGCTTCTCACCTGAGGGAAGCACTTCTGGGGAGCAGCTTCAGCACCACACTGTTTGAGGTAGTCAGCCCAATCAAAGTCCTGGCCTGAATAGCCTAGGTAGAGACAAAAGAACAATGATTCATACCACACAAGGTTTCCTGGCTTTACACTCTGCCAAGCGTCCACCCATAACTTCTAATTTTGCTAATTTGGAACTCTGATCATTTTAGAGAGGGGAGAAACATGTTACAAATCTAAAGCATTGTTAATTTTATAAAACAGAGCAAATGTGGTCAAACTACATGGCAATACAACTCTTTGGATAAATTTTAAAACTTTTATGTTTCAAACTAGGCATTTATTTTGAGCAATATTTTATGATTAATTACTGGCAATTTACTAAAAAATTTAAGACAGTTATAACTGGATTTGTACCAACAAATCCAATCTTATGATCAATTCTATTATGACTTCGGCTCTAAAGGAAAAGAGACAGCAGTAGTATTTAATCAATAAAAACTTTTTTCTTTCATAAAGCTACTTCCTTAAGCATATTTTAGCTCTTACGGATATGACATTTTTGATACTGGTTTTCAGATTCATGCCTTATAGAATCTCAATGCTTTTATAACCTGAATCATTAACTGATTTCAGAAAAAAAAATTGAGCTTAACTCTCCACTTAAGTCTACCAAGGCTTCTGGTAGAAGTCTGTATCTGTGTGTGAGGAGCTGGACTGGGCCCACTGTGTCTAAGCTGCTCTCTGCTCTGTAGAGCTTAGTATCTCACAGGCACAGAGCAGGCTACTCAAGACTATGCCATCCTCCAACCAAACAGCCCCTGTAATCGCCTATTTTGCCCAGTTGAAACTGGTATCATGCTTTCCCCCTGCATTCACCTCAATTCCTCACAGTAAATTACCTGCTATTTTCAATTACATATTCCACTACTTTCCTTCTAGTTACAAAGACAATTGAGTTGTCTTTAGCAACACCAAAAGCTCAAACAGCTATAATAATTGGATTTTCTTTTCACATAAAAGTAGTGGGCAGGATAAAGAACTTGGGATGTCCAGAGCCTTCCTGCAAAACAAGAGCTTCCTCTTGTAGATGTGTCCCTCACCCCATCACCACCAGGCAAGCATTCCCACTCTGTCACTGATGAAGGAGAACCTGGGAGGCTCTGTTACTGTTTTCCCTCATTTGCTCCTTGAAGGAAATGTGTTGTACTCACTTCTCTCTCTCCAGTGATAAGCCCAATGCCTGGTTCATAGCAAGTATCCCATAAATGTTTATTGGATGAATCTAAGCTGAATAGAAGGCAAAGGCTCTGGGTTTATGACTCCTGCTAACACACAGAGCACTTCCAGCCCCATGTTCCAGCAGTCAACATTGAGAGAGTAAAGCTATGCTTTACCATAAGCCTACTAGAAAAAGATACACAGACTGCCATAAATCTGGTTTGCTGACATAAAAATCAGATAAACATCTGACACTTCCAGATACTACAAGTTAAAAAATACTAAAAATTTCATAAGCCCTCGCCAGGTAGCTCAGTTGGCTGGAGCATTATCCCATACACCAAAAGGTTGTGGGTCTGATCCTGGTCAAGGCACATACCTCAGTTGTGGTTTCAATCCCCAGTAGGGGTGCATATGGGAGGCAACCCATCCCCCGCCCCAATCTGGCTTCTTCTCTCTCTAAAATCAGTAAACATATCCTCAGGTAAGAATTTTTTAAAAAATCATTCAAGCTCAACTAAGTCATATTTATGAGCCTTGATTAAAAGGTCAAAGACTATATTTTGCAAGTTGCAAACACAGAAAATGATTACTTTTCTAACTACAGCCTCTCTACATCCTACTCTTGACTATAAACCTACCTGACTATAGCAGGTTTATAGTCAAAACTTGACTATAAACCATCCTACTCTTGACTATAAACCTCTCTCTGGAATCTAAAGAGCCTCCCTCTAAAATAAGGCCCAGGAACCTAAAAATCACCAATAATCTATCTTCTAGCTCTGCCTCTAATGCCTCTACTCCCAACCCCTGTGACCTCCCAACAGAAACATGATGGAACTGAGGAACCCAGCTGGGACCCCAGGTTGTCACGAACATGCATTTGTCAAGGTAGGAGAACAAAACATACCTCATTAAATAGTTCAACTTAATTTATAACTTTCAAATATGTAAATATATGGAAACTACGCCTTATTTATACTTGTCTTGGGTTCCAAAAATGTAAAGATAGGCTGGGGCATGAAGAGAGAGAGGGACAAAAGATACGGGTAATGCCTTCTGATAATCTCATTTCCAGGGAAAGCAACTGATAAACAATTCAAAACAGAATGACTACATACCAGGAGGGGGGCTAATGTGTAAACCATTCTTCAGACTCCACTGCACAGGGAAAATACCAGGACTGTCGACATGACACACAAAAGATCGCCTTGTATGATTCTCTGGTCGCAAATCATCCATTTCCACCAGAAAGTACTTCTCATCAAAAACCTGTCCAAACAATTTAATTGATAAAATAGATTAATGGTTTATGTGTTTATGTGTTTATGTGTTTTTGTGTGTATTTCCTTTGCAGAGCCAAACATGTTACCAAAAATGTTGATAGCAATAATGGGTATTAATAATACTACTACTTACTCAATAAATGTTATCTCTATATCAGGGACAGTTTTAATTGAATGCTTTTCATGTATTAATTCAATTTTGATCTTCCTAACAATCTAACAAGGTAGGTACTATTATCAACCTCATTTTGCAGATAAAGAAACTAAGTTTAAAAAGAGGTTAAATAACTTGTCCCGTGTTACATAGCCAGGAACAAGCAGAATCTGGATTCAAATCCAAGTATTATGGTCCCAAACAAAATTTAGTTTAGGCTTAGTGAGGAATCAACTACACAGGTTTATTAAAGTTTCAAATTCTAGCCTAGTTTTAAATGCCACAGAGGTTTTATGAACCCCCTCTGGATCCCTCCCATCCCACAGCCCTCAGACTCCAGTTAGGGCCCTTTAATTCCATTGAAGGTTCAGAATCCCTCCCTGTTGTAAGAATAATCTTCTTCTAAGGCAAGGGAACTTTAAATCTAAACAGGCTGGATGACTTAGCATCAAAGCAACTATTTCTCTAGTTCTTGACTTTTGGTTCTACTTCCAGTAAGTTAGTTTTTTTACTGAAATCATCTCCTTTATGCCTTAGCTCTAATAACTGAGTAACTGGGCCTTGACAACCTGCTCAGTTCTTGTGGTTATTCCTAACAAGAGACCTACTTCTGTCGGCCTTTCAAAAGATTCAGGTCTGAACCTGAATCCATGGCTGCAGCACTCCAACTGGCAGATCTTGTGACACTAATCACCTGCTCCCCACACATCTCCTCAGCTCAAGGAGCCCTGCACCTAGTTGGACACTGATGACCCTGCCCACCTCCATACTTTTCAGGTACTGTGGCCTATCAGTTAAACCTGCTCTATTACAGCTAGACCTGCCCCCCCCAAAACATACCCCTCTACTCTGGTGCTCAGGCTTTGGTTGGCTGGAGCAACCAAGGTCAGAAGAAGGAATGAGCCACAGATAACTGGACAGTACAAATAGAAAATGTGTACAGAAGTAATTCTAGTCTCACAGCTTAGGAAAAAACAATGGCAAAATTAGGAAAGCCTGAAGTCAAAATACTACCAATTTTCTAAACCAGTCACATCGACAGGAATTCTTACAAAAAAAGTTGCCCCCTTTTTACCTTAACAACTGTAGCAGGAGAGATCCCAAAAGGAGACCAGGGATCCACAGCTTCCAATTTCATATTTACAGAGAACGAATGCATCCCAATTGCTTGTTTGTCCTGAAATGCAAACACCAAGAGGGAATAAAAATAGAGTATTCTCACGTTAATTTTATACTTATATATAGCTGAATACTACTCAATTAAAATAGTGAAACTGTCCAGCTTCCGGTAAATCATCTAATCCTATTATTTTCTTCCCTAAAAAATAAAAAGAAAAATTTCAGGCATAAAACCACAGCCTCACTCCTACTCCCACAGCCTCACTCCTACTCTCTACATTTGGAACATAAAGGCTACCTCAAGAAAAAACAAGCTCATTTAATAACAAATCAAGGCTATGCAGTTAATAGTAGAATAGAAAACCCCTTCACTTTGAAGGGATTGAGAAGTACAAATTGCCAGTTATAAAACAGTCACACAGATGTGAAGTAAAACATATAGAATATAATCAATAATACTGTAATAACTACATACAGTGCCAAGTGGGCACTAGACTTCTCAGGGTGATCACTTTGGAAGTTACATAAATGTCTAATTGCTAAGTTTAAAAAATTTTTTTTTTAATTTATCAAGAGTAGAAAAGTCTCAAAGTGCCTCCAGAGAACTTTAGGAGAAAACCTAGACTACTTTTAGAAGAAAAGGACGACCATCACTCCAGCCTTCAAACTTCTCTCCTCCTTCATACCCACAGCACTCTCACTGGCTCCAGGGGTTATTTTATGCTTTGCACCTCCTTCAAATTGCTTTACTCTACTTGTGTTTGCATTTACCTTAAATAAGTAAGATGGTAATGGCTCTTCCTCCTCCTCTTTCACTTTGGCCAAAATCTCTTGCCACTCAGTTTCATTTTTGAGATGTCTGATGGCTTTAGTAAAACAAGACAGGCAATTTTAAATAATGACAGAACTTACACACTTAACAACTATTCTGAAAGCATTCACATAAATAAAAAAGCCACTTTCCATTGGGAAAAGAAAAGGGTTCAAGCCCATTTATACTATCTTCACTTAAACAACTTGCACTTTCACTTCAGTACCTTGTCTCCTCTGTTCAGAGCCCGGTTAATTAAATATGGTGAAAATACCTACAGTGAGATCTTAAGGACTACTGTACTCTACAAATATAATACAACATCCAAACTGCAGTACATAATATCAAATGCATATTGATTTAAACAGCATCTCCAGTTACAATCCCTTCATCAACAATTTGCTTTGAACCCAAGATCTGTCCCACTCCTATACCTACATGAATGCTACTTAGGGAATTTTTCTTTAATTTTGGTGAGAGGTCAGTATGAGCTGGGGCAGAATTCTATGAGGTATGTATATCAGTACCTGTGGAAAATTACAAAAGCAATAAAACTACAAGAAAAATAGGTGTTTAACAACTCCATACACATTTTTTTGCAATATTTCTATCATGAAAAGTGACAAAAGCTTTAGTAATATGCAGAATAATGCTTTTCTCAGTCTCAAAAATATTAATAAAAACACAACAATAATGTAATAGTTTAAAAATGTTATATTACTCTTTACCTAATGGGGGCTGAAGTTCATATCCCTGCTGAGCTGCCCAACCAACATGATGAAGAAATGGATCCAAGTAATACAACCAATGTTCAAAATTGTCAGAACTTCCAAGGCCTTCATAACGTAGCTTCAGCCTTCCCCCAATGTTTTCTACTACAGTAACAATCCAAGCGCTTAAAGAGTCCTGGAAAGCTTGACATTCTAGCCTGGAACCTGGAGCAATAAGATCTAAAGGATTCCTCCCATTACGGAGCTATAGGTAAAAAAGGTGAAATGATTAAATAAGAGAAGTTAACATTACATTTTTAAAAGTCAAGTTTTAAATAACCTCAAACTAGCCTTTATATTTTACCCATTCAAGGGCACTGACACTAAATTGTCTAGTATCAATCAAGACCCTACAGTGTTATTTGTAGGTGATATAAAAATGTTTGTCTTAAAAAAAATCTACCTATAATGAAATAAAACTATCCTAACAGATCTCTACCTCTAGAACTGTTGTATAACTTCATCTAGTAAAGATTTTTAAAATACCATCATTAGTCTCTAATTGTAAGAACAAATATGATCATCAAGGAAAAAAAAAACAACAAAAGTCAAAATCCCCCACAACCCCACCCACCTTCAAGAAAAAAACACAATGAACACTTCGGTACAAATTCTTTGAGACTTGGTTTTTCACACACAAGTCTGTGTCTCTTGCTCTCTTACATTTATTTTCTTTATAACATGTATATTTTAAATGGGAGCACTGTATATCGTTCTTCAATTTGTGTTTGTCACTTAATACATCATAGCTATGGTTCTATAATAACATATACAAATCTTCTTCATTCTTTTAAACTGTTTTTTTGCTATTCAGTATTACAAATGGGCAGTAATTTATCCCCTTATCTACTGATGGCATTTCAGTTGTTTCTGAGCTTTCACTCATTTGCAATGTTCTTATGAACACAGTGTTTTGATTACACTGATGGAAAAGAAAAGTTTAATTCCCACTCCCTAAATATATATTAAAAGTTACAATAAAGAATAAAAAAAAACACTGATTCCAACATAATCACATAACCATTTCTTAATTCGAACTTTTTTCTAATAAGAACTGCACTGTGACACTTACATATTATTTTTTTTTGACACTTACATATTCTTATTAGGCAAAAGATCATATGGACAAATGGAAACCTCCCCCGCCCCCGAAAGCTAAAGATTAGAATGGCAGAATCAAAGGTCAATGTAGAGTAGCATTTTATTAATTCATTTGTTCATGATTTCACTCATTCATTCAAATTTTCCTGAATGTTTACTATGTGCCAAACCCTTGATAAACATAATGGAATGAGTCAGAGTATACAATATAAAGATTAGCTTGAAATAGAATGCTCACCAAGTTTTATAGGAGAATGTGAATCGATCATAGAATTAAACATAAGAGCTAAAATTATGAAAAAAAAAACTTAGAAGAAAACATGAGAGTAAATCTTCATGATTTTGGGTTAAGCAAAGCCTTCTTAGATATGACATCAAAATCATGAGCAAAAAAAGAAAAACAGATAAATTAGACTACATCAAAATTAAAAAGAAAAAACTTTTATGCTGCAAATGATATCAAGAAAGTGAAAAGATAATCCACAGAATTGCAGATAGTATTTGGAAATCATCTATCTGATACAACTTGCAACCAGAATTTATAAGGAATTCTTAAAAATGATCAAAGACAGTTTAAAAAAAAATACACAAATCACAAATAAGTACATTAAAAAAAAATCCTCAACATCATTAGTCATTAGGGAAATGAGTGATTTCCCTAAATCAAAATGAGATACTACATCACACTCACTACAATAGCTATAACCAAAAAGAGAATGACCAGGGCTGTCAAGGATGTAGAGAAACTGGAACCTTCATACACTGGATTTCACATATACCTCAAAGAATATTACTAGTATGACAGAAAGTTAACAAAATATAACTTAGAAATGTTGTAACCAATAAACTGACTTCATAAAAACAAGAAATCTATAATCACTAACAAGCTCAAAACCTACACTAATTTAAAAGGACTGCTGGAGGTAGGTGGGTGGTAGAAGTACTGTAGATGTACTATCTCCTGAATAGTAGAAAAAAGGGAGTCTCGTATTACACACTGTGGGAGTTACAAATGCCCATCTTCAAGTAGAATCAAATCCTACCCAGTTACAGAGTAGGAACCCCAAAATGCCACATTTTCCAGATGCATAAACTATCTGGAAAGCTAGATTTTTATGTGTTAGCAACCAATTCAGAATACTGACCAGCGGTGTCCAACCTGGGGCCTGTGGGCCGCATGCAGCCCAGGATGGCTGTGAATGTGGCTCAACATAAAATCATAAATTTACTTAAAACATTATGAGACTTTTTCTTTGTAATTACATGTTCCAATGTATTTAATGTGTGGCCTAAGGCAACTCTTCCAGTGTGGCTCACAGACACCAAAAGCTTGGACACTTGCAGTTTAGGCACTGGAGCAAGGCACCAGTTTGTAATCTTTAAGGGTTAAGTTTAAACCTCCCCATGCCTATGTCTGTAGTAAAAATGCTTATTTGCCTTGGGGTAGTAAACGAGCAACCAATTTTAAGATTCCTTGGACAGAAAATAAATATCACTAAAGATTGTAAGGGTTTTTCACACTGATTCTGCAAGCAATAATACTCACGCCCTCTAGCAGCGGAACAGGAGGACTACATGCTCCTATCAGAGTCTGGCGCAGGAACTCATCCCAATCAGAAACCTTATCTCTGATGCCTAGATAAGGCAATAAAAAGAGTAATTTACTCATACTATCAGCCACAGAACACAGAGGAACTAAACAGAATACAGACAAAATTAAACCAGTGAAAATGGTTTACAGGTTCTTAGATCATTTTAATATCTAAGAGTCCAACAACTGTTTCTTTGAAAGCTTGGAACAAAAATTCTCCTAGATAGAGCTACTTCCTGGTTAGTTTGATGCAAGTTGTATGCAAAACAAGGAGAATAGGCCCAACTCCCTGTTACTATAATTTATCCAAAAGTTACCTAGTTTATTTTTTATCATGGAGAATTTCAAATACATACAAAAGTAAACAGAAAAATGAATCCTCTGTACCCATGGTTCAACAACTGTCACTTCATGGCCGATCTTTTCCTTTTCTTAAGATTTATTTTTTTAAGAAAGGGGAAGGGATAAAGAGAGGGAGAGAAACATGATCAGTTGTCTCTGGTAGGCCCCCAGCTGGGGCCCTGGTTTGCAACCCAGGCATGTGGTGCCCTGATTGGTAATCAAACCAGTGACCTTTCCATTCCCAGGCCAACGCTCAACCCACTGAGCCACACCAGCCAGGGGAATCTTTCCAACTAAATCTGGAGTAGTTAGCAACTACAACAAGTTCACATACACATTCATGTATGTTCTCCTCCTCCCTCATTCTGTACACATTTTTTTTCATAAAACGAGATATCCTAGAGAACACTTCTTAGTTGTATATAGATGATCCATGTTTCCTTTTACCACTGATAGCAGCTTACCACTCTAAAGCTCCCTTCTTTGTCTCTTGTAATGCTTTCTTGTCTGAAATCCACTTCTGTCAGATATCAAGACTGAGACTCCAGCTTTCTCTTCTATTTGCATTTGTCTATATACCTTTGCCTATACTTATATCCTTTCAGAATCTATCCATTTAGGTATGACGTTTCCTATATATGGCCCAGAATTAAGTTTTGCTTTGTGAGCCAACTTAAATTGTTTTTTCCTTTTAATACATGAGTAAGCCCATTAACATTTATTGATATTACTAATATGTATAGCCTCAATTCTTATTGTTAAATATTATATAAATGGTGTATATTACAGACTTTAACGATGTGATCTATTTTATTTGAACATATACTCTTTCTTTTTAAAAAAAAAAATCTATCTTCAGTATTTAGAAAGGTTTGTGTTTTTGTCCTTCTGGTTACCTTTATACAACACTTTGGTCCTCTCCATTTTTGGACTACTTTCTCTTTCTTTGTTCTATAAATGATATCCAAGTTAGCTATAATCTCTTTTTTCTCCTCTTTTTCAGCATCTCATTTCAAGTAAATAAGCTTTTACTCCCAGTTACTCCTTAAAAGGCAATTAGTTAAATTATTCAGCAATAAAGCTGATTTTTGTTTTCAAAAAAAGCAATGAGCAAGCTTATACCATGTATATCACATGCTCTCCCCACTGGTGTCCCATATTCTGTATAGTCATATTCTATTTATATTGTCAGAACATGTAGTCATTACAAATTATACTGCCTCCCTTATAACTTCATTTAGTCCTAAGTTCTACAGTTAAACATATATTTAATGTTTCATAACAGTTCTTATGCTAATGTTTCTTCAGTCATTTGGTTTTTCTGAAGCTCATTCTCTAGCGGATTTCTTAGGAAGGGTTCATGGGAACAATATTCCTAGAATCTTTATATCATAAGTTTCCATATGGCCTTTATGCTTAAAGTTCAGTTTAGCTAGATGTAAAATCCTTGCTTCATATTTTCTTCCAATGATTTTTTAAAATGTTACCCTATGGTCTTTTGGAATAAAGCCTTGTTATGAATTAATTTAAATAACCAAGGGATTACTTTTTGCTTTAAAGTTCAGTAATTTCATTAGAACACCTCTTGGTGTAGCTGTTCTTGTACATGATTCTCCCATGTACCCAGGAAGCCCTTTCCATATGTATTTCAAGTCCTATTTTATTTTAGTCAAGTTTCTTGAATTATGGTTTACAGTATCTTACTGTTTCATTGCTTTGCTTTTCTCCTTCAGGGACTTCTATTTTATATAAGTTAAATCACTTTTGCCTATCTATATTACTTTCCCATGTTAACCTTTATACTCCCTTCTTCATTTAATTTTTTTCTCTTTTTCATCTTTTATTTCTCTTCAGATACTATCCATGATTGATTCAGTCCTATGTTCATTTAACTTAGCCTTCATTTCTAACATTTTTAAATTTCCAACCTGGCCTAACTTTTACTTTTTCTATTTTTAAATCTTCCTTTTCTCCAATCACTTCATTTCTGAATTTTAATAAATTTTATTCATGCTTTTTCTCACTGCTTCTATAAGTTACTTTTTCTATTTTTTATTATTTTTTATTGATTATGCTATTACAGTTGTCCTATTTTTTCCTCCCCTTTATTCTCCTTTGCCCTGCATCTCCCCTTCCACCAGCATTCCCCCCACCTCAACCCTGCTTACTTCATGTCCATGGGTCGTACATGTAAGTTCTCTGGCTTCTCCATTTCCTATACTATTCTTAACCTCCCCATCTCTCCTGTCCCTCCTATTTATGCTTCTTATTCTCTGTACCTTTTCCCCCATTCTTCCCCCTCCCTTTCACCTCTGATCTTCATTTCTGTGATTCTGTTCCTATTCTAGTTGTTTGCTTAGTTTCTTTTTGTTTTTTTAGGTTCAGTTGTTGATAGTTGTATTTGTCATTTTACTGTTCATATCTTCGATCTCCATTTTCTTACAGAAATCCCTTGAACATTTCATATAAGGGCTTGGTGATGAGCTCCTTTAACTTGACCTTATCTGGGAAGCACTTTATCTGCCCTTTCATTCTAAATAATAGCTTTGCTGGGTAGAGTAATCTTCGATGTAGAGCCATGTCTTTCATGACTCTGAAAACTTCTCGCCAGCCAGCCCCTTCTCGCCTGAAATGTTTCTTTTGAGAAATCAGCTGATAGTCTATAGGAGCTCCTTTGTAGGTAACTCTCTCCTTTTCTCTTGCTGTTTTTAAGATTCTCTCCTTATCGTTAATCTTAGGTAACTTAATCATGGTGTGCTTTGGTGTGTGCTTCCTTGGGTCGTGCTTCCTTGGGTCCAACTTCTTTGGGGCTCTCTGAGCTTCCTGGGTCTCCTGGAAATCTATTTCCTTGGCCAGACTGGGGAAGTTCTCCTTCATTACTTTTCCAAATAAGCTTTCAATTTCTTGCTCTTCCTCTTCTCCTTCCGGCACACCTATGATTCGGATGTTTGAATGTTTAAAGTTGTCCCAGAGGTTCCTAAGCCTCTCATTTTTTCGAATTCTTGTTTCTTAGTTCTGTTCTGGTTGAATGTTTCTCTCTTCATTCTGCTCCAAATCACTGATTTGAGTCCCAGTTTCCTTTCCTTTACTAGTTGGATCCCTGTATATTTTTGTTTCACTTTGCATACCCTTCACTTCTCCTTCCATTTTGCAATCATACTCAACCATTTCTGTGAGCAGATTACCAGTGTTTTTGAACTGTGCATCTGATAGGTTGGCTATCTGTTCATCGCTTAGTTTTATTGTTGGAACTTTTGATCTTTCATTTGGGCTATATTCCTTTGTCTCAGCGTGCCTGTTATGTTGGGAGGGGCAGAGCCTCAAGTGTTCACCAGGGTGGGGCAACCCAGGTCGCTGCATTGTGGCACTGTATGTAGGGGAGGGGTGCTATAGGGAACAATGCTGCTTGCTTGGCTCTTGCAGGCTTTCAGTCACTACCCACTCCCTGCTACCCACCAGCAAATTGGGTCCTTCTGGTGCTGATTCCCAGGTGGGTGCATTTGTGTATGTTCCAGGACCCTGTGGGTTTCTCCAAAAAACTCTCCCATGAGGCTGGATGCTTCTCCCACTGCTGCATCCCCTACAGGTTTTTACAGCCAGAGGTTTTGAGGCTTTCTTTCCCCATGCTGGAACCCCGGGTTGCATGGTTTGTCTCGTTCCCCAGCTGTTCCTCCCATTTTATCCCACATGCAAATGTGGAACCACCTGGTCCGTCAGCCTCTGCCTTGGCCGCGTGTCCTCTCCGCCCCGGCTGTCCATCTCCGCCCCTCCTCCCAGTCTGGAGGAATGTTTTGTCTTCAACATGTTGGTTGTTGGACTGTATACAGTTAGACTTTTCTGGCAGTTCTGGTTGATTTTGTTTTTAAATTTGTTGTTGTCCTTTGGTTGTGCAAGGAAGCAAAGTGTATCTACCCCCATTTTGGCTGGAAGTGTTAATTTTTTTAAAGAAACTGCTTATTTTCCATCAACTGGTAATTTTTCATCTTTATTTCCATTTTGTTTTAGAGTTTATATAAAAATAGCCTAATATCACTCAGTGGTTGCCCTACCCATTCAGTGGCCTGAGCAGTGGGGGCTCCAGTCCAGGACTCAGTGCCAGCTGAGTGCACCAGTCTTCAGTAGGAAACTGCTCGATGGGCACAGAGGGCATATGCATGCCTTCTAACCAATCTGCAAACTCAGGTTGCACAGCAGTGAACTTGGGAGCTGGAGCAGTCCATGCATCTGAAATGCCTCCTTGGTCAAAGCCTCTACAGTTGCAGCCTGCTCTTCCTTTTCAGTCTCTTCAGAATCTCTGTAGATTTAGATAGAGATCAGGCATGATCTCCCAGGGGTGTTTACGGGACGCACTGTCACACATGCACAAAACTTGCCAGGCTAGCACCCACATCAAACCCACTGAGTGAGCCCTCTCATTGTTGCAAAGGATGGCAACATTCACATAACGAGAGGAGAGTCTGTGTTACATAGAGCAGTGGTAGGCAGGTTAACACAAGACACCTCTGTGAGAAGCTGGTAGTCAACAACAGTAACTACCAGAAGTCTTGGCTCCAGGAAGGCAGCCTGGATCTAGTTAGTGAGGGTTCCAAGAGTGAAGTATCAGCAACAGGAGTGGCTCCAGTGGCAGCAGCAAACTTCAGTACTGCTCACTGCCGTATTCCTGAATATTATGACACTGAAAACAGTGGAGTTTTTAATGGCAACAATGGCATGAGCTGCTAGTGAAGCTTCTCCCAGGTTCTCTTCAGATTTATGGTCTAGATGCCATTACTACTTCCTTTTGTAGCTGTACTGTTCCATTTGGAAATCAAGACTGGTGCCACCAAAGTGGATTCCTGCTGCAAGGAATTTGAGGACATCTCCCTCCTTTAGTTGCAGGATATCAAAAACTCTGGATATTGTGAAAGTTTTCCTTTAAGATATGTAGAAACTGAGAACAATGGCGTATGGGACTTTCTCTGGGTAGCACAGAAAGGGCTACTACTTTCTTTTAGCTTGTTTTACATTTTTTTTCTTTAAAGATTTTATTTATTTTTTAGACAGATGGGAAGAGGAGAAAGAGAGAGAGAGAAACGTTAACTGGTTGCCCCTCGAAGGCCCCCAACCAGGGACCTGGCCCACAGCCCAGGCATGTGTCCCGACCAGGAACTGAATCAGCAACCTTTTGGTTCATGGGACAGTGCCCAATCCACTGAGCCGCATCAGTCAGGGCTGAATTTTTTTTTTTATCTGACATAGTGTTAATCTCTTTTGTAGTTCTGTTCCTCTGGAAGAATTTTATTCTACCCTTTTCTCTCTTTTTAAAATAACCTTGTATGAGATTCAGCTGAAATCATTGTTGTTCATATTAAAATGAGATGAATTTTCCAATAGTACTCTTAAAATGAGATGTTGGGCCAGATAGTTTCATGTCTCAATCTTCCTTTTACACTGTTTTTTTACAAAATGTTAAAAATATGGCCAAATAGAAGCCTACAGACATCCCCAGAATACTAATACCCAGATCCTCATTTCTAAATACCATTCTTCACCAAAAGAAACCACAATTTCTTGGGGGGAAAAAATGGCTAATTTCAGGGATGAAACTACTTGAGGAATATAGGAACATAAAGGACACACTTGCCAGTTTGAAGAAGTGCCCACTGGCCATATCTAGAACAATCTCAGCACCAAAATAAATAAGATAGCAAAAGATTATAACCCATTAAGTACAATAATCATGAGTCCACACTGACATATGAGGTCTGTCCAGAAGGTATTCAGCTATGTAATATGAAAAATAGACATTTATTGAAGATACAAGATACAAGAAACTTTGTACATATAACAATGATGCCTCAGTCCCCTTGAAAGTAGGCATCTTGGGACCTCACAGAGTATTCACAGTCGCTATTAGTTGCCCTGTTGTACTTTTCTGAATCTCATCAACAGTCTGAAATCCTTCCTGTTCAAAGGTGATTTTAGTTTTGGGAAAAGCCAAAAGTCATAGCGCACCAAATCTGGGCTGTGGGGGGCTCAGTCACCTGGGTGATTTGCTGTTTCACCAAAAAACTCTGCATAAGACGTGAACCATGAGCAGGCATGTTGTTGTAATGAAGCTGCCAATCACCAGTTGCCCATAGTTATCGCCTTCTGAATCATCCGAATAGTTTCTGCAGAGGAGTGTTCAATCTTCATGCAAAATCTGATGCAGATTCGTTGCTGTACTCAGTCATTTTGAATGCTACAGTCACACAGTACACATGTCCACCCAATGGCATCTACTGCCCCCACCGACTAGTACAAGTTGTCATTGTTCACACATGCACATTTTAGTCCATTCTCCTTGGCTGCCAGGTTACACTGGTGTTGTGCAAACCATTCTCATTATATTAACAATGACTACACTTTTTCCGGACAGACTGCGTATATGCATAAATACACACGTATATTGTAAGTGTATGTGTGTAAATGGAAGAAAAAGGAAAGCTTTTTATATAGTATAAAGCAAACTATAAAATATAGGAAAAAAAGAAAAAAGAAATTTGGTAATCAGAGTAATAATTGTTTCAGATAAAAATTATCAATGGATGCTAAAATAGTGGGTGAAAAGTATGAAAAAAATGGGATATTTATACAATCTCAAAATATCTTCCCACAAGATACTTATTAATTTAAAAGGTTAAAAGCAATTTTATGGTAGCAAAAACCTGGTGTATACCAACTTAATCAAGCGATGAAAGCACCACCAGCCACAGGACAAATGAACAGCATGTTATCTCCTGATAAGATGTTTTAGAAGGACACAGCATCACTTCTGCATTTTTTTCTGTGAAAAGTGTGCCATGTGAATCTAAGGAAACATCAAACTTACACTGTGGAACAGTCTAAAAAAAATAACTGACCTATATTCTTCAAAAATCTCAACACCAAGAAAGACACAGAAAGGTTAAGTAAACTAAAAAGAAATGACAACCAAATGCAATGTATAACCCTGGACTGAATCATGGATCAGGAAAAGAAATAGGGCATAACGAACATTGTTGGGAATATAGGCCTGTACCTTTCAAAAATGTCAAAGTCATGAAAGACAAAGAAAGCCTGAAGCACTGTTCTGGGTTAAAGAAATCTTATGAGACATGACAACTGAATGCAACACATGATCTACAATAAAAACATTATTGGTAAAAACTAAATTTGGTATATCGATTAAATAATAGTATATATCAGCCTGTAACGGTTCCGTCATGGTGGGCGGCAGCAGGGTGGGGGCAGCCTCCTGGAGAATGTAACCCCCTCATCTATTAGTGCTCTGGGGAGCAGCCAGTGACCTTGGGCTAGGAGGGCAAGCTGGTTCCAGACAGCATCTACGCGCGAGATCTTCGATCTGATTCGCTCCACCAATGACCCGGAGCATCCACTGACTCTAGAAGAATTGAAGGTAGTAGAGCAAGTCCAGGTTCCGGTGAGTGACCCTGAGAGCACTGTGGCTGTGGCCTTCACACCCAACATTCCTCACTGCAGCATGGATACCCTTATTGGCCTGTTCATCAGAGTCAAGCTTCTGTGATTTCTTCCCCAGCATTCCAAGAGAGATGTGCACATTACACCAGGGATCCATGCCTCACTGCATGCAGTGAACAAGCAACTTGCAGATAAGGAATGGTGGCAGCTCCCCTGAGGAACACCCACCTTCTGGAGGTTGTGAACCACTGCCTGTCAGCATGCTCCCGAGCCTGGCTTTTTATCCCTAGCCTCACCCAGGGCTCATGGCCTTGTTTTCTTGAACCACTGACAATGAAAAACTGACACTTTGCATTTTGTAATAAACCCTTAATAAAAATTAAAAAAATAGTATAAAGTTAATTTTCTGATTTTGTTATTTTACTATGTTCATGAATGTCCTTGTTTTTAGGAGAACATTAAAGTACTTAGGAGTAAAAGGCATCATGTCTACAATGGACTCAAATAGTTCTTTTGAAAAGCACACACATATGCACAGGTATGTTTGTGATTTGTAGGAGAGGAAAAGAGAGGGAGGGAGGAAAGGATGTAGGGAAAAGGATAAAGTAAATTTGGTAAACTGTCAGGAAACTTGGCAAAGTCCCAAGGAATTTTCTATACTATTTTTACAACTTTTCTGTAAATCTAAAATTATATCAAAATAAGATGTTGAAAGAAAAACATATAAGGCCTGGTATTTTCTTAAATCTACAGTCTCTTCCCTTTCTCCACCTTTATATGACCCGTCTCTTTCTTTTGTCCCACTATTTCTGTCTTGCTGAATTTGGATTCTACTCTCAGGGCTCTTTTCTGGAAGAAAGCTTCAGTTGATTCATTTTAAAGATCATAGGTCCCATATTACTTGTAGGAGAGAGGAAAATAAAGCCAAAAAGGAGAATCAATCTGGCCCAATGTAACTAAAGACAACCAGTCCTACAAGTCTCAAACTCAGAGAGCCTCATAGTCTTATAGAATAAATAAATGATGCTTTAGGGAGTGTCACAAAAATGTGAGGCATTATGGAACACAGAAAATAATTTTAAAAGATGAGAAAAATGTGCATTATTTCTTATATTTTACTTCAAAATGTTCATCCAAAAAAGTGAGAAAAACCTATTTGCATGGAACCTGAAGATTATGGATAAGATTTCCTACAGCAATATCATATTATATCATAACAAAGTATTTTATTACCTTCCGGAGCTTCCAGGGTCTTCTTATTCTGCTGACACCACCCAATGGGGTAGAGGTCAGTCTTCCTGATGTCACACCAGAAGTCCGCTCTCCGGTCCTCCCCATAGCCGTCATAGCGGAGGAGGAGCAACTGCTCACAGGCAGTAATGATGGTGGCAACCCAGTAAGTTTCAGGATCTGTTTTCACAGTCACCTCCAGTTTCATCCCAGGAGCAAATCCATTTTGTAAGCGTGTGTCCACCTGAACAGGGAAATGTTATGAACCACCAGACAAGCATCTCAAATGAGTATTTCTTTGGCCAACATCCTTTTTTAAGACTTACAATTCTGAAGTACTAAATGCAATAAAATCATCTCAAGGGGAACCTGAGAAATTCCAATTCTCACTCATAGGAATGATCCAAACAAAACAGGGGATAGCAATGAATGCTGCTCTGTTCCATCTTAAAAGAACTCAACATTTTCACCACAGCAGTCTATTACAATCACAGAGAATATAAATTACTAAGTGTTCACCGTTTTAACAGCTTTTGATACATTAAGTTTTCAAGAGTGATTTCTAGATCATTCAAAAGAAAATTTATAACTCTAGAAAAGAGAAATGGCAAAAATAAGCTATAATGATAAAAAATTAGTAAAATATGTACCACATTTAGGGAGCCATAACCTCCCAGTTTCCCTAAAACAGCGCATGGTTACATCTGTTATTTTTTAAAAATAACTAATAATGCCCTTTTTCTCTCTCAAAAGTGTCCTAATTTAGATGATAAATTGTACGGTCACAAAGGTATGGGTTAGCGGCTCTGCCCCTCCCAACATAACAGGCACGCTGAGACAAAGGAATATAGCCCAAATGAAAGATCAAAAGTTCCAACAATAAAACTAAGCGATGAACAGATAGCCAACCTATCAGATGCACAGTTCAAAAACACTGGTAATCTGCTCACAGAAATGGTTGAGTATGATTGCAAAATGGAAGGAGAAGTGAAGGGTATGCAAAGTGAAACAAAAATATACAGGGATCCAACTAGTAAAGGAAAGGAAACTGGGACTCAAATCAGTGATTTGGAGCAGAATGAAGAGAGAAACATTCAACCAGAACAGAACTAAGAAACAAGAATTCGAAAAAATGAGAGGCTTAGGAACCTCTGGGACAACTTTAAACATTCAAACATCCGAATCATAGGTGTGCCGGAAGGAGAAGAGGAAGAGCAAGAAATTGAAAGCTTATTTGGAAAAGTAATGAAGGAGAACTTCCCCAGTCTGGCCAAGGAAATAGATTTCCAGGAGACCCAGGAAGCTCAGAGAGCCCCAAAGAAGTTGGACCCAAGGAAGCACGACCCAAGGAAGCACACACCAAAGCACACCATGATTAAGTTACCTAAGATTAACGATAAGGAGAGAATCTTAAAAACAGCAAGAGAAAAGGAGAGAGTTACCTACAAAGGAGCTCCTATAGACTATCAGCTGATTTCTCAAAAGAAACATTTCAGGCGAGAAGGGGCTGGCTGGCGAGAAGTTTTCAGAGTCATGAAAGACATGGCTCTACATCGAAGATTACTCTACCCAGCAAAGCTATTATTTAGAATGAAAGGGCAGATAAAGTGCTTCCCAGATAAGGTCAAGTTAAAGGAGCTCATCACCAAGCCCTTATATGAAATGTTCAAGGGATTTCTGTAAGAAAATGGAGATCGAAGATATGAACAGTAAAATGACAAATACAACTATCAACAACTGAACCTAAAAAAACAAAAAAGAAACTAAGCAAACAACTAGAATAGGAACAGAATCACAGAAATGAAGATCAGAGGTGAAAGGGAGGGGGAAGAATGGGGGAAAAGGTACAGAGAATAAGAAGCATAAACAGTAGGGACAAAATGGACAGGGGGAGGTTAAGAAAATACAGGAAATGGAGAAGCCAAAGAACTTATATGTACAACCATGGACATGAACTAAAGGCGGCGGGAGGTGGGGGAGGGGCGGGGAGGGAGAATGCCGGAGGAGAGGGGCGGTGCAGGGTGGAGGGGAATAAAGGGTGTTAAAAAATAAAAACAAAAACGAAGGTATGGGTTAGCAATTCTGGGACTACTGTGTGTACACTAAGAATAAATAAACCAACATATTATAGATGATGAGAGACAGGATTCTCACTGTGGAAGAAAAAAGAACAAGGAAGGGGGAAGAAGAGAATGAGCCTGTGGTGCTGAATTAGAATCAAGGTACCAGAATGAGATGATGATCACAGATGCACAGAGACAAATAGAAAGAGGTTTAAAAAAAACGAGAGAGAGAGAGAGAGTGTGTGTGTGTATGTTAATATACATATATCTCCTAGCTCTGTGAATTGACAGAAACTAGAAGTAATGATACTCAGTAGCAACAGCAAACTTAGTTTCCAAGTCTTGATTTCTAAATACCAACCTCCATTAAAAAGGAACAAGGGTTCCATGAAGAAATAACTGATTCCATTTCTGGGGTGCGGAACACAGAACAGGAGTCTGGAATATCCAGTGATACCAGAAAGTATGGAAATGCTCCAAAAATATGGGAACATTTGGAAAAGATGTGGGTGCACACTAGGAGTATCTCCCAATGTCCCCATGTGGGACAATGTGAGCAATAAAATAAACAATGAGAATAATGGATTACAACCCATAGATTCACATGGATACCCATGAGTTATTACTGTTAAAAATAATTAACACAACAACAAAAAAAAATTAACAGAGAAGAGAGATCTTCCTTAGCATAGAAGACCAATTAATAAAAATGAGAAAAATAATGGAAATTAAAAAATCACCTTTAGACAAACACCACAGAAATAAACACTGCAGGCAAGAATCATGGCTCAATGCTAAAATGCCTAGGATATTTATATAATCTCAAAGGCACTCTCTGCAAGAGTCTTATTAATTGCAGAGGAAAACCACTGACATTACAATGAAGAAATCTGGCAGTAACTGACTGAACTAATTGATCAACATTAACATCACCACTCTGAAAACATCAATGTCATATGCCTTTGATATCATAAAGGAAAGCATAAAATCACTTTTATGACATCTTTGCCAAATCTGCATAAACTTGAGCTAATCAGGAAAAAAAAACCCAAATTGAGGCATACTCTATAAAATAACTAATATGCTCTGCAAAAGTATCAAGATCATGAAAGACAAAGAAAGAATGAGGAACGACCATCTACTTAGGAGAGACTATGGAGACCTGAGCACCAAATGCAATGTGGCCATAACCACCAATGGAAAGTAAGGGGAATCTGGAAAGGAGAGAGCCAGAGGGGAAAAGTCCCACATGATGTGTAAAAATCCCTCCCCCTTCTAATCACTACCCTGTTATATTCCTGCAATGTAATCGCCATCCTAAATTGTAACACCATGGTTTAACAGTGCAGTATGAATGTTTTTCTGTGCGGGGTTTCAGCTTCCCAACATTGCTTATGAAACTCATAAATACTATTGCATCACAGCTGTTTATTTCTTTTCATTGCTTTATATTATTCCATATTTACAATTTATCCCTTTGAATGCTACTAATAGTAGGCACTGTGGGTGATTCCCAGTTTTGGAAGACTACAAAGAATACTGCCATGATTATATGAATATTTTTGTATATCTGTTGGTACATACGCATATGATATGGATTTCTATAACAGAGGGTTAAATTGTTTTTTACGAAGTTGTGGCACAAATTTACTTTCCCAGTAGCAAAAATTCTTTTGCTCCAACATTCTAACCAACATTTTTGTGTTTTCTGTTTTTTTCATTTTAACCATTTTGGAAAGTATGCAGTATATCTCATTATGATTTTCATTTTCATTTTCTAATAATAAAGTTGAGAACTTTTATATTTACTATTTATAGTTCTTTTGGGAAATGCCTAAGTTTCTCGTCAATTTTTTATTGAGTCTGTATTTTGGGTTTCAGTTCTTTGTTAGTTACTTGTGTTACTCTTCTTACTTTCCAGACGGTGTTGTTTGAGGAACAGACGTTCTTAATTTTAATTCAGTCTGATTTATCAGTGTTTCTCCTTTTAAAAAGTTAGTGCTCTTTCTCTATTTTGAAACAAAATTTTTCCCTATTCCTAGAGGTCATAACAATATACTGTATTATTTCCTAGAAGCCTTTCATATTTAGGACTAATATCTACCCCAAATTAATCTCTGTGTATAATATTTGGCAGGGATCTGGCTTTATTTGTTTGAAAATGCATATATAATTGACCAACTACCTTTCCTCACCATTGTAAATGGAAAACACCATTGGAAAACATTTGTTATAAATCAAGTGTCCCTACAAAAGTAGATGTTTCTGATTTGCTTTTCCTTAGAGCATAACTATACTGCCCTAATTAACTTTGATATCTAGTACAGTAAGTCTTCTCATCTTATTCTTTAGCCGTGTCCGGCTATCCTTGCTCCTTTATAATCAACATAAACTTTAGAATCAGCTTGTCAATTTCTACCTAGATTTTTTGGGGGGAGGGAAGGAAGTTGGGTTCAGTGAATATACACATCTATTTAAAGAGAACTGACATCAATACATTAGTGAGTCTTCCATTACATGAACAAGGTATATTGCTTCATTTTAACTTTTATCAATAAGGGCTTAAAGTTTCTTTGCAAATTTTTGTTACATTTATTCCTAGCTCTTTGACTTTTTAAGTGTTATTATATCACTAAATCACATTTTTCTTTAGTTTTCACTTTCGTTTATTTCTCATATATAGAAATATAATAGATTTTTTTAATGCTACCTTGGATCTAATAATCTTGCTGAAATTACTCAATTAATATGTCTGCAAATTATTTTATTTATCTGCAAGTAATGACATTTTTTCCTTCCTTACTAATCCTTATACACCTTACTATTTTTCTTATGTAATTGTATTGGCTAGAACATCCAGAACAATATTGAACAGAAGTCATGTTAACCAGTATCTTTGTCTTGCTTATTAAAAGGAAAGCATGCACCTTTACTATCAATTAATATAATGTCCTGTACCATTTTTGTAGATATGCTTTATCAAGTTAACTAAATTCCCATCTATAGTTTGCTAAAAGTTTTATCGTGGTGGGTATGGGATTTTATCAATAATTTTCCTCTATATATTGAGATGATAATGTGATTTTTCTCGTTTATTCTGCTATTTTTATTATGCTGGTTGATTTACAAATGCTAAACCACCTTGCATTCCTGGAAAAATCAACTTGTTATTAATGTATTACCCTTTCTAAATTCAGCTACATTTGGTTTTCTATTATTTTGTATGCATATCCTATGCATTAGTCTTCATGAGCGATACTACTCTGTAATTTTCCTTTCCTAAAATATTCATGTCAGGTTTGATATTAAGGTTATGCTGATCTATAAACAAACTGGTACCCTATAATCAATGACAGATAGAACAAGCAGACAGAAAGGAGACAGCGGACTTTAACAAGACTATTAACCAATGAGAACAGACATTAAAAAAAAACGCTCAACAGAAGAAAATACATATTCTTCCTTCTCAAGTGCACATGGAACATTCTCTAGGACAGACCATAACATTAGGCCACAAAACAAGTTTAAATTTAAAAAGACTGAAATGATTCAAAGTATCTTTTCTGATCACAATAGAATGAAAATGGAATTCAATAACAGAAGAAAAATTAGGAAATTCAGAACTATGTGGAGATTAAACCCACTCTCAAACCAGCTACCCCTGTTATCCATAGGGAATACGTTTGCAAGACCCACGGTGGATGCCTGCCTCATACATACTATGTTTTTCTTATACATATACACCTATAATAAAGTTTAATTTATAAGTTAAACATAGGAAGGGATTAAGAATAAAATAAAAACAAATATAACAATATACTGTAAAAGTTATATGAATGTGGCATTATTCAGTAAAATAAAGGTTACTTGAACACAAGCACTGCAATAACGTGAGAGCTGATCTGATAGCTACGATGGCTATTAGCAACTAACAGGCAGGTAGCATTTACAGCTATACAAAAGGGTGATTCATGTCCAAGGTGTGATGGAGTGGAATGGCAAAGGATGGTACAACATTTCATCATGCTACACAGAGTGACATGCAAATTAAAACTTATGAAAAAACAATAAAGTAAAAATAAAACATGAATTGCTTTTTTCTGGAATTTTCAATTTTATGGTTTTGGATTACAGTTGACAGTAGGTAAATAAAACTGTGGAAAGTGAAACTGAAGATAAGGGAGAACAACTGATGATTCAAGAAGAAATCACAAGGGGAATCAGAAAATACTTTGAGACAAGTAACAAAAATACAACATAACAAAATTTATCAGAAGCAGTGAAAAGTGCTAAGAGGGAAATTTACAGCTAAATAAACACATTAAAAAAGCAAATCTCAAGTGGAAAAAGAGGATGATATGTAAGAACAGATGGATAATGTAAACAGAGAAGCACAAATTCCAAAAAAGAATCACAGTTATTTAAAATTCTCTGATAGTTCTAACATATGGGTCATATGAGTCTGGTTCTGTTGATTGCTTTGTCTCTTGACAGTTTGCTGTTTTTCCCTTACTTCTTTATGTGTCCCATAATTTTTTATTGAAAGCCAGACATTCTGTGTAAAGCAGTCAAGGTTGAAGCAAATAGTATTTATACCTGGGAATGAATAAGTTTCTTCTTATGCCTCAAGTCTGAGGGAGAACATCCAGTCTATCTAGTTAGAAGTGGAGCTGGGTTTGGGTTTTGTTGTTGCTCTGATTATTCACAGTGCACCACAAGCTTCCAATTCCATTAGCATTTTCTAGTATTTGGATAGTAGGCTTATTTGACAGAGGGTTTTTTACCCCTCAGTGTTTGCTGCTCCACCCTCAGATTTAAGTCTTCTCTTTGTGACTTCATCTCACAGACTGTCTCTCTCCATACTCTTTCCTTTCTTCTCCCCGACAAATAAACCTTTGCTACCCAACATTTTCTAACTGATAGTCAGGGACAGGGTCAAGAGGGAATTCTGAGATCGGGCCTCAATTTTAGTCAGGTTTCATGTCCCTGGGTCCTGGGGGTGAGAACTTCTCAGACATCTTTTCCCTCCCCCAACTATACAGGACCTCTGCTCTAGCGTGTATTTCTATCCCTCCCCCAGGGGACGGAGGGCTTTTATTCCTTCTGTTCTAGCTCCAGGCTATAAAGGATCTTCACCTGTAACCTGGGGTTAATAGGATTTGCATCCTTTCCCCTATCAGCTTGAGGCTTTTGGTCTAGAAGACCCACAGAAAGCTCAGTGCCTTTCCCATAGTGGATACTATTCCTTCCACGAGACGTGCCTCGACGAAGGATTTTTCACTAAGGCCCGTCCTCCTTGCAAATGTGGCTAACTTCTAATTCCTTCTTAAGCCCTGTCTTCCCTCCTAAACTGGGTCCTATGAAACTCTTTGCCAGTGGCTTGCACATCCATCTCCATTATTCTGGAGATCTGAGCTGTGTCTGCTTTGTCTGTGATCTGCTAGCCAAAGGCTACCTACACCCATGCTTCATTTCCAGTATACTTATCAGCCTGTCACCAATATGCTGATTCACGTTTACAAATATTTCCTAAATTTGACAGTGAGACTATGTACGCATTTATTTTTCTTTTCTTTTTTTGCTTTGTCATTCAAAGAGGAGAAGGAGGAATCTGTCTCTTTAAAGTGACTTTAGACAAGATTTTTGATTAGGAAATTTGTCCTTCATTTGCATTTTAGTATAAATAAATACGTTTGTGTAAATACATATCGATTAGTAATAACATTAAAAACAAGAATTCAAAGATATTATAAAATCACTAATAAACTTTCTACATTAAAACACTATTAAAAAGTTACAAGATTAGCCAACGCAATACAAAATAAAATCCTTATCTAAAATATGTAATTCTCACTTAAACTTGAGACAAAAATGAACTAAGAAATAATCAAAAGGACAACTACTATAACTGAGTTTTTATATGAAAACAAACTGAAAAGAGCATCATTCTTTAGCTTATAAAGACATCTGAAAGAATACGGTCCAACTTCACAAAATCACAGACAATTCTGACTATCTTTGCAAATTCTAGAACAAAGAAACTATGTGCTATTGATCACTGCTATAGACTAAACTCTTTCCCCCCAAATTCTTATGATCAAATCCTTGCTCACAATGTATCTATATTTAGAGACAGAACCTTTATGAAGGCAGTAAAGATTAAACGAGACCTTAAGAGTGGAGACCTGATCCAACAGGATTAGTGTTCGTATAAGAAGGGACACCAGAGAGCCTGCTCTCTCACATTCTACCATATGAGGACACAACACGAAGGCACTCTCAGCAAACCAGGACAAGAGTCCTTACCAGAAACTGACCATGCTGGCACCCTAATCTCAGACTTGTACTCTCCAGAACTGTAAGAAAATAAACTTCTGTTTTTTAAGCCACTCAATCTATGTTACATTGTTATGGCTTCCTGAGCAGACTAAGACAAACATAAAATAAGTAGTTTTAAAATCAATAATTTTGTGTCGTTTAAGAGGGAGTGAAAAATAAACTTTTTAAAAACTAGATTTAAACATAAATTATTAATAAAATTTGGACTATTTTCTTACATTGGAAAGGCATTAATTACATAAGCAAATATGCTGTCCATTGAGAAAGCATTAAACTGGGCTGTTAGGGCATAAAACTATGCGGCACAAGCCACTAGTGTGACTCACTCACTGTATGCTACTACTTACCCTTCTGCTCAATGTGACAGAAAGCAAGCAATGTTACTGGAATTACTTTCAATGAGCAAACCAATAATCATAAAATTTTATAATTTAATGTGTAAAATAAACCATTTGCTTCAATTTACAAGAAAGCTTTCTAAAAAAAAATAAAATAAAAGAATATTCATGACCAGTCAAAAAGAAAACCCCTGCATTAAGGAGGAGGAAATACACAAAACCAAAATAATTTTAGGAGTATGCCAAGTTTTCTTAATGAGGGTAGCAGGGAAAGGAAAAGGAAAAAGTACTCGAGTTCAAGTGCCCCAACTTAAAATAACGCCAAACTCCCTAATGATGGTATAGTAAGTCAAAGGAAACAGGTATAAACAGTAAAGCAATACAGTTACTGCTTACATGTTTAAAAGATCCATAAGGAACTGCTGTGGACCCTGTCTCTTCTAGATAATCTTCCCAGCTTAATTCCACTTCTTCCACACCAGATCCGGCATCTGGAATTAAAAGCAAAATAAAAAGAAACAAAAACAGGTGAACCACAGTAAGAGAAAACTCAAGGTACAAAAACATAAACTTAGTAATAAATCTAACTTATAATTTATTTCCTAACAAGTTAATTGATTTTATGGTGGGTTCCCTTAGAGCAATGACTGTCAATGAATCTCAACAGCATAAAAGTATGACATGCTGTCTCCTGCTGGGAGACATCTGCGATCCTCCCAAATGGATCATACAAACCTGGTAAGAGTGCAACTGTTAAAACCACTTTGGGTTGTTTTTGGATTGCCAAATATTTGAGATACTTGATAGGTAGGCATTTCAAACTTGAACTTCAATCTCATTTCTTCCTCCGTACTCTCCAGCTAAGTAAAACATACTGCTAGTAGATATTTTTGCTCAATCTGAAAGAATGTGAGCATATTCTTACTTTTCTCCCTTTCTTTCACATCTTACATCCAAATCATCAGAAAATTCTCTAGATACCACCTTTGAAATATATCCCAAATCTAATCACCTCCCACCATTCCTATTGCTATGTCTCTAGTCCAAGGCCTATGACATCATTTACCTTTTAAGTCACATTTATGATAAAATCTAAAACCTCTGAGCAACTGCAAAAGCCCTACATTATCTGACCCTCTTGTTACCTATCTTGCCACATCATTCTGAACTAGCCTCGTTTGCTCACTGCACTCAAGTTACACTGAGCTTATTCTCATTTTTCTCTAATCATGTTCTTTCCTCAAAGGCTCTACCTCAGCTCAAAGACTGATTCTCTGGTGCCATTCACATCTTTGTTGCATTTAGGCCTTTACTCAACTGTCATCTCTCCAAAAAGCCCTTCCTTCCATCAGTACCCAGAGCAGAAAACCCCCAGGCTCTGCTTTCTTACCTTCAAGTTATTCATTTCTGTTTGACAGTATACCATGTCTTTTTATCTTCCCCATTAGATAATAAACTCTATAAAGACAGAAACTTTGTTTTGGTCACTACTCTATCTCTGACACAGCAGAAACTCAATAAATTTTTGTTGAGTGAGCAAAGATTTAAACATTCCATAATCCAATAATCACAGTTCACATCAGCTCCCTAAGAGCAGAGTTTTGTTCACTGATACATCCCCACTGTCCAAAACAATGCCTGGCGCTAGCAAGTTCACAATAAACAGATGCTGAATGAATACACTCCAGGGGAGCCTGTGTTTCACACCAACACAAGGAGGCAAATACATGATTCTCTCCACAGCACTGTTTGTAATAGCAACAGACAGAAGCAATCAGTAGGAGAAGAGATAAACTATGGCAATCCTACAATGGAGTACTACTATACAGCAGTTAAAATGAGTTAATTAATATTGACACAGATAAGTCTCAAAAAAAACAACATCAAATAAAACTGGCAGAATGAAAAGCACAAGAAGATACAGTTCAGGCTTCAAAACAGAACTCTGCAGTATAATGTTTATGAATACATGTACATTATAAAAACAAGGATGGGAAGAAAATACAGCAATTAAAACACTGCTACTTTTGGGTATGGAGAGAAGAAAACAGGATTAGAAAACAAATACAAAAGAGGCATAAACTGTGTTGCATTTTATTTCTTTTTAAAAATGGAAACAACACCTGAAAACATGCTCGACATCATTTAGGGAAATACAAATTGAAACCACAGTGAGATACCACCTCCCACCCATAGGATGACTATAATTTAAAAAGTAGAAAATAAATGTTAAGAAGGATGTGAGAAATTGGAGTATTTGTGCTCTTCTGGTCTGGGAATGTAAAATAATATAGCCACAGTGGAAAACTACATGGTAGCTTCTTAAACAATTAAAAAATATAATTACCATATGATCCACCAATTCCACTTTTGGGTATATACCCAAAAGAATTGAAAGCAGAGCCTCAAACAGATTATTTGCACATGAATCTTCATAGCTGCAATATTCACAATAGCCAAAGCTTGGAAGCAACCCAGGTGTCCATTAACAGATGAATAAATTAAACAAAATGTGATGTGATACATCCATCCAATGGAGTATTATCAGATTTAAAAAAAAAAAGGAAGGAAATTCTAGGACATAATACAACATGGATGAACCTAGAGGACATTACGCTAAGTGAACTAAGCCACTTGCAAAAGGACAAATAACTATATGATTCCACTTATATGAGGTAGCTAGAGGAGTCAAATTCATAGAGACAGAAGGAAGAATGGTGGTTTCCAAGAACTGTGGGCAGAAAAGAATGGGGTGTTAGTAGTGTGATACAGGTGTAGCTCTTCAGTTTGAGAAAATGAAAAAATGTTCTGGGGTGGACAATGGTAATGGTTGCACAACATGAGTGTACTTAGTGCCACTGAATAGTACACTTTTAAAAAAAATGGTTAAAATAGTCAACTGTGTATAATGGATATGGATATTTTACCACTATAAAAACAAGTATTACACAACATTAATATTTATTAATTCTTCATGGTAGCTATGTGGGTGTTCTTATATTGTTTCCCATTCTTTTTTATGTACTTGAAATTCTTCATCAGAAATATAACAAGCCAACAAAGACTACATTGGGAACATCCTAGAAGTGTGGGCCAGTAGAAAGTCAATTTCCATTACTAAAATGTAACAAGGCTGGACATTCATGGTCCTTAGCAAGAACCCTAGTCCCTGAAACAACATACTAGTTTAAAAATAAAAATAGACAACAATAAAAATAATGAACTAATGAACTAAAATATCTCATATATTAAAAACTACTAAAAAACTGAGAAACAAGATTAATAATCTGACAGAAAAATGAGCAAAATACAGGAAGAGAATTTGTCAAAAAGAAATGCAAGGTCCTTAAACATATGGAAAAATACGCAAATTTATTCATTTTAAGAGAAATGCAAATTAAAACTACACTGAAATATCACACTGGAAAAAAATTCCAAAGTTTGACAACATACTCTAATAGTGAGGCTATAGTTAAGCAGGTAAAGCATAATGACACAACCCTGGTGAAAGAAAACTTGGCAATATCTAGCAAAATGATATATGTATTTACCTTTTGATCCAGCAATCCCACTTCTAGGAATCTATTCCAAAGATATGCTGGCAAAAATACAAAAAGACATATGTACAAAGCTATTCATTGCAGCACTACTTCTAATACCAAGACTGGAAACAACCCAATGTCCATTAATAAGGAACTGGCTGAATAATCTATGGTTTATACATCCAGTACTATACAGTTGTAAAAAGGAATAAGAACAGTTTCTATATACTGATGTGGGATAATCTCCAATATATAATAAGTGAACTGCAAACTACAAAGCAGTTTTTATTGTATCTCTACTTTTGTATAAAGCAAGAGAGGTATGAAAATAAATATATATGCACATACTCACAAATATTTGTTTATATTTTTAAATGAATAGTAGAAATAAATAATAAAACTAGTATATGGAGAAGTACAAAAAGCATGAATATTATCAGGTTGAAAGTAGGAATGTTATAAAATTTTCACTTAATAACTATGTATATACTTTGTATAATTTAGAAGTATTTAAATCAAAAGTCTAATAATTGAAAATGATCTGAAACAAATATGCCTATAAAAAAAGAGACAGAATTCCTATAAGTCATATTAAAATACAATAATCTGACTGCAAACCCCAGTAGAGTATACTTAAAGACAAAAGCCATGAAAAATCTTAAACTACACTGTTACCTTATTTCTATTTGGAATGTCTATATTGTTACTTTGAAAGAACTACAGAAATGGTATAAGGTAAAAACAAATCAGTAATGATATTAACATCATTATGAAACAACACATTTCTAAAAGAGACACAAACATAAAAATCAAAGGAATAAAAACCCTGTATTTTTAAACTAAAATTTTAAATATCAGATGAAGCCATCTGATTTTTTCTCTTCAAAAGATGTAAATTTTCCAGCTATCTAAGGGATAAGAGCTAGAAGAAATGACAACCTAGTATCAATGAGCACCCTAGCACTAGACTGTGTTCTCTAAATACCATGTTCACTTAAAAAAGGAAGGAAGGAAGGTAGGAAGAGAGGGAGGGAGGGAGGAAGAAAGGAAGGAGAGAGAAGAAGATGAAACAGCTCTTTAGAGAAATGGAATATTGTAAATTTAGGTACCTGGGAACCTTACTGTGCCATAAAGCTAGGACTAGAAGATGCATCAAAGATACATGACATCACATCAAAAGAACACAGGAACCAATGTGACAGAAATATGTATTTCATGAATAAATAACATCTGAAATAAGAAAAATCAACTTGCTAAATGGCAGAGTGAGTACCTCAGTGAACCCACTCTCCCAGAAAAGCAGAAAAATACTGGCTAAATAATGAAAATCAACCATTTCAAAGTTCTGAAATTAACTGAAGTCACAGAACAAACTGAAAAGCATCTCTTCAAGATAAGCTACTGAACCCTGGTTAGAACAGTGGTGTTGCAGCATTTTGGGTTGGAGCTATTCCCTTCCTTCATCTCTCCTCAGTTCAAAATGGAAATTTCTGAACTGAAAATGTAATCATCAAAGGAAACCCCCATGAATAAGCCCCAGAGAAGAATGGGGAAGACTGAAGGAAAAAAAACAAAAAACACTAATATTAAAGACAGAGCTGGAAGAAAATACCCAACCTAAACAGAAAGAAAATACTGAAAAAAAATGAAAAGAACCTCACGAAGTTGTGGAACAACACAAGACCTAACATTAGTGTCATTAGAATCCCAGAAGAGAAAAAAGAGAAGAGGGCTGAAAAGTATCTGAAGAAATAATGGTTGAAAATATTCCAAATTTGGCAAGAGTTTAAGAAAACCCCAAACAAGAAAAACTAAATGGAATCAGTGCAAATATATACCCAAGTCAAACTTCTGCAAACTAAAGACAACAAAAAAATAGCTTGAAAGCATCAAGATATTGATGAGGTGGGGGAGAGGGGATTCCAGTGAAAGCAGACTTCTCATCAGAAACCATGGAGGCCACAAGGTACACTGTTTTTCAAGACATGAAAGAAAAGAACTTTTCCTATATCCAGCAAAAAATTTCCTTTAATAATAAATGGGGAAATCAAGACATTGTCAAGATGAAGGGAAACTAAGAAATTTTATCACCAGTAGACCTGCTCTTAAAAAATAAAAATGACTAAAGGAAATTCTATAAATGGAAATGAAATGTCAGAAAAAAGGAATCTGAAATCTCGGAAAATCAGGAAGGAGTAAAGGACAATAAAAAGAGTAAAAATATTTTAAAATATATTTTCCTTCTCTTCTTGAGGTTTCTAAATTACGTTTGAAAGTTGAAACAAAAATTTTAATATCTGATATGGTTCTCAATATATGTATACATTTATGACAATTTTATTATAAATATTAAAGATGATAAAGACATATAAAAATAGCTAAAGTTTCTATACTAATAAAATGATGATACCAGCAGACTGTGATAATTTATATACAATATAATACCTAGAGCAACCAATTAAAAGATATACAAAGAGACACTCAAAAACACTATAGACAAATCTAAATGGAGTTCTAAAAAAATGTTCAAGTACCTCAGAGGAAGGCAGGGGGTAAAAACAAGAAACACAGAAAATAAATGAACAAAAATAGCATACTTGAGCCCTAACATATCAATAAATACATTAAATGTAAAAGGTGTTAAGTACACCAATTATAAGACTGAAATTTAAAAAATGACTATATGCTGTTATAAGAAACTTACTTCAAATATAATGATATAGGCAAGCTGAAAGTACAAAAATGAAAAAGGTATATCATATAAACATTAATCAAAAGAAAGCAGGAATTGGTAAATCCACAGAGACAGAAAGTAGATTAATGGTGACTGCCAGAGGCTGAATGGAGCAAGAAATGACTGCTCATGGTTTCTTTTGGGGGGTAATGAAATATTTTAGAAATAGTGATGGTCACACAACTTTGTGAGTATGCTGAAAACCACTGAACTATACACTCTATAATGATGTTTTATGGTATGTGAATTACATCTTTAAAAAAAAAATACCTCAATAGAGTTGTTTTTTACAAGTCTCAATAGTTTTAAATAAATCATTATTAATTAAAAAGCAGACAAATAATAAAATAAATGACCCAAAGACATGAAAACACTAAACTGAAGAGCATACAGGATGGCAAATAAGCACATGTTCAACATCACTAGCCATTACGAAAGTGCAAAGAAAGAACAGGATAAGCTGTCATTATTACATGTGTATCATAATGACTTAAACAAAAAATAATTACAATACCAAATGTCAGTGAGGATGTGAAGAAACTAGATCTCTTGTACATTGCTGGTGAGAATGTAAAATGGTACAACCACTCTGAAAAGAGTATGGCAGTTTCTTTATCAAACATATGATCCAGCAATTGTGCTCCTAGACATTTAACCCAGAAAAATGAAATTTTATATATTCTGTTGCTCATAGAAAATGTATTTGTAATAACCAAAAACTGGAAGCAACCAAAATATACAACAATAGATGAACAGTTAACCAAACATTAGTATATCCATGGAATACTACTCAGCAATAAAAGGGAACAAACTATTGATATATACAAGAATTGGGATGGATACCAAGGGCATTATTTTAAGTGAAAAAAGGCAAACTCCAAAAGTCACATACTATGTGGCTCCATGTATGTAACATTCCCGAAATGCCAAAATTATAAAGACAGAGCAGAGATGAATGGTTGCCTGGGGTTAGGGAAGGCCGGGGGGAGAGGTCAGGTGTGTAAGTATGAAGGGGTAGGACAGAGGAGCTCTTTGTGGTGATGGAATAGTTCTGTATCTTGACTGAAGTGGTGGTTACCGGAATCTACACATGTGATAAAATGGCACAGAACTACACACACTTTATACATGTCATTCGCCTGGCTTTTACACTGTAATATACTTAAATGAGATGTAACTAATGGTAGAAACTGGGGAAGGGTACCTGGCACCTGTCAGTACTATGTTTGCAACTTCTAATGAGTATAAAATTATTTCAAAATAATTCAAAAGTAACTATCAAAATTAAAATTTTGTTTTTTAAAAAATAATTCTGTTCCTAAAGGTATTTACTTTTTCAGCAAACATCATGAGCACCCCCTAGTTCCAGGTTCTCTGCCAGGTAGAGAAAGGCAACTCTTATCTTCAAAGAGCTTCCTGTTTAGTGTTAGAAAGACAAATGAGACAATGTAACATAGAAAAGTAATATAGTTTGCACTCTGAAGAATAATTTCTGCTCACCAAAACCAATACCTGCATCAAGCTGCTGCTCCCCGTTCATTTCCATAGCACACAGACTATCTCCTCCCCAAAGAACAGGCCTTACAGTTCTGCTATGATCTGAAGATTACTTGCAGGTCTCAAGCAACCATCAATGGGCATCCAAGGATCCAAATGAAAGTGCTAAAAAATGAAAAAATAAAAAGAACACATAAATAGCCTGAAGCTCAAGTGTGTTTACTCATTTATAAGACATGGAACTCCAGCTGGTTGAGAGAACAGATAAAACAAAAACACAGTGGCAGAATACATGAAATTAGAGAAAAAGCTGATACCTTTGCTAATTTTTAAGGGGGTGTGTGTGGGGGGGGGTGAGGGTGTGTGTGGAGAGAGAGCTCTATCAAGATCTTGATATCTAAAAATCACAAGAAATTACCATATAAATGAATTATTACTCTTTAAACTTAGATTTTTAGACAGTTGGCCAAAAAGTCTGTTTATTTTTTTCTGTAAAATAAAAGACACATTTTTCATTTTCACCAATAACTTTATTGATTTGGATATTTTGAGTATCTCCCATTATTGGTTTCTAGAGGATAGAGGCCAGGGATGCTGCTAAACATCTTCCAACGCATAAGACAGCCCCATGACAAAGAATTATTTGGCCAAAATGTCAATAGTACCAAGAAACTTCACAAACCACTTTGACACATTCCATCAGTCACAGCAACTTCTCCATATACTGCATAAATCTTTTTTTTTTTTGCATTTCAGCTGTTTTTACCTGTCTTGAAATAATAATACACCAAAAATGGTGTGTTTTCTTCCATCTTCAATATTAAAATGGCTACACAAAATTATTCACTAATTTTGATAAGTTTTTCTTAAATGCAGGCTGATATGACAGCTGTCACAATATAATCTAACAAAATTGTTTCTAATGAAAATAGAGACAATTAAGCACTACTAAAGCCCTCATACAGAAAAAACTAAACAAACTTTTTGGCCAGCACAATCATACTTAGCATCATGATTCCTATCCACAAACACTCTAACTCATAATGAATTCCTGGGTTGTGGAGGACGGTTACCTTTCAATGCTCTGTCTTACCTAACGAGTAATATTCAGGATCTAGTATATCACCTTATTTAGTTTTCCATTCCATTTATCTAAACTATTATGCAGAACCAAAAAGTATCAACTATATTAGTCTATAATTACACTTATAAAAGAGAACCCCTCCAAAATAGGTTCTGAACCCACTTATTCTTTTTTACAACAGCTTTATTGGGATATAATTCACATACCAAAATTTACCATTTTAAGTATACAATTAACGAATTTTTTGTAAATCTGAAGTTGTATTACCACCACTCTAATCCAATTTTAGAATATTCCCATTTTCCTGAGAAGAAACTTCATTCCAGGTTCCAGTTCCTACCCATTCCATCCCTAGCCTCAGGCAACCACTAATCTGCTTTCTCTCTCTAGAGATTTTGACTTTCCTGGACGTAAATGCAATCATACACTATATGGTCTCTTGCTTCTGGCTTCTTTCACCTGATGTGTTTCTGACGTTCATCCCTGTTGCAGCATGGATGACTCTATTTAATCTTGCTTTACATAAATACATGTAAAACAATCTAAGATATTGCCTTGGTATATGTGTAACAGGTTGTAAAAAGTAAATGAAAAGGGGAAAGGGAGTGGCTACAGGAAGGAATGATGTGAACTAACTAACCATAGGGCAACAATACAGAAAACTGTGAGTGGGATAAGCACCAAGCCACAGCTCTAGTGGATAGAGGATTGAGCAACTCTACACCTCTCAAAAAGATTTGGAGTGTGTATTAGAGCCCCCAACAAGTAATTAATCAACAAATAATCAATTCTCATGAAAGGACCTGAAGCACTGTGAAAAATGTTAATATACCCCTTGAAAAGGTGCAAGCTACTTGAAACACAACAGCTGCAGGTGAATAAACAGGATACCCAGGTTGTAGTTCGAGCTTACTAATCACTACCAATTTTATACAGACCTTATTCTATCAATTTTTAATCTGTAATATGGATATAAGATCTTTTCCAAGTTACATTTCATAATGAGTACAGAGAAAGTCTTAAGTATTAAAATAATGAGTATCTCTTTGAGACAATTGCTAGTTAACTCACAATCATATCATACAACATGAACACTGAAACCCCCACACTTTCAGAAAGGAACAACTGAACAGAAACTGGGCAGTAAAATTTAAATCCTCTAAATACGCCCTTTTCTCTCAGCTTACTTTTCTGCCTGCGCCCAAATCATTCAAACTTTACCATTCCACCTATTAATTCATTAACTCCCCTTATTTAGCAAACACCAGCTTATGATGTTTGCAGAACATTCACTGTTCTACAGGATAAGGGTAAAGTGAGACATAGTTCCTGTTTTCATAAAGCTTGTTTTCAACAGGGAGCAGACAAATTAAACCAATGATTTCAAAGAATTATTTAAAGTGCTGTAAAGAAAAAGCAGTGGGTGCCAAGATAAAACACAATGGCAGACCTAACGTAAACTGAGAGGTTACGGACAGAGTCCTTGAACAAAATGGTATTTAAGCTGAGACTAAAGGGGAAATAGCAGTCAAGCAAAAGGGGACGAAGGGAAATACTCCAGGCAAAGGCAACAGGACATACTGGGCTGGCCAAGAAGTCTGAATGGTTTGGGTTTTTTTTCCAAAAAATAAAAGTCACATTTTTCATTTTCACCAATAACTTTGTTGACTTGGATATTTTGAGTATGTTGGCTATCTCCCACTATTGGCTTCCAGTAGGTAGAGGCCAGGGGTGCTGCTAAACATCTTCCAATACATAAGAAAGCTGCACAGCAAAGAGGTATTTGGCCAAAATGTCAATAGTATCAAGAAACTTCAAAAACCACTTTTGACATGTTCCATCAGTCACAGCACATTCTCCATATACTGCACAAATCTCTTTTTGCATTTTGGCTGCTTTTTTACCTTTCTTGGAATAATAAAGCATAATATGTCAAAAATGTTGCATATTTTCTTCCACCTTCAATATTAAAATGGCTGTACAAAAACTCACCAATTTTGATAAGTTTTTTTAAATGCTCACTGACATGACAACTGTCACAATACAATCTAATAAAATTTTTATGAAGGAAGTTAAAGACAACCAAGCACTACTATAGCCATCATACAGGAAAAACATAACAGATATTTTGGCCAACCCAGTACAAAGGCCCTAAGGTAAGAAGCCACTAAGAGGAGGCCCGTGTGGCTGGAGCATAGCAACCAAAAGGTAAGTGTCACAATAAAACTGAACAGCAGCTAATATTTACTCAGGATATACTATGTGCTCAGCACTGTCCTAGCACTTAAACATACTAACCCTTCAATACTCCCAACAACTCCACCAGGTGAGTATTGTCATGAAGAAACGGGCACGGGCCAGGTACTTGGCCTACTCAGGGTCTCACAGGAAGCAAGTAACAGAACTAGGTTTCAGACAAAGCAAAAGGTCTATATTCCATGTCCTGAAACACTAATACTGCCTCTCAAGGGGAAGTAACTGAGGGTCCTTTAAGCAGGGAAAAGTAAATAAATGATCAAATATATTCTTTTTTTTTTTTTAAGAAACCATAAAGGAGTGACAGCAAAGACAACATAAAACTATAAAACTTCAACATTAAAATAGACACCATAAATAAAATTCAAAGATGAGAGTAAACCTTGAAAGCTCTTTAAAAGATAAAAAATTTTTTGTAACTATGTATGGTGACTGATGTCAACCAGACTTACTGAAGTGATCTCTGGCAAATATCAAATCATTATGTTGCACCTGAAACTAATGTGTTATATGGCAATTAAACTTCAATAAAAATGAATAAATAAATGACTGGAAGCACTAGCAAAATATAAAATAATGGGTTAATTTCCATATACAAGCTCATGTAATTCAACAAGAAAAATGGGCAAAATATGTAATTAACTCACATTAAAAAATAAGAGATAATACATATAAAAATGTGCTCAACCTTACTGGTATTAAGGAAAACAAGAATTTTTAATTACATACCTTTTTTTTCAACTTTCAGATTGGTAAAAATTTTAAACTAAAAGTATCTGATGTTGGCAAAAATGGTAGATAAAATGAGAGAACTTGGGATATAGATTGATAACACCTCTTTGGAAAGGAATTTAATGATAAATAACTTAACCTATAAGATTTAAAAGACTCTTAGAGCAATAATTCTACCATTAAAAATTTGTCATACAAAACACATGTGAAGGCTTCATAACCGATGGTATTTGCGCTACAGTATTATCTGTAACAGAAAAACTAGAGACAAGACAACCTATATATTCACCAAATGAGAATGAAATGGCCACATACATTATAATACAATATACTAGGAAATACACAACCATTACCATTAGAAGAAGTTAGGTAGATCCATAAAAACACATGGGAATGTTGTCTACATTGAGTGGAAAAAAGCAAGTGAAGGACAACATAATTTATATTAACTTTTAAAAGTCCTGTGTTTGGCCCTGGCCAGTGTGTCTCTGTTGGCTGGAGCATCATCCAGTAAACCACAAGGTACGGGTTCAGCTTCTGGATAGCACACATACCTAGGTTGTGGATTTGGTCCCTGGTCAGGGCACATACAAGGAGCAACCAATCAACATTTCTCTCTCACATCAATGTTTCTTTCCCTCTCTCTTCCTTTCCCCTCTCTTTAGAATAAATTAGTGTGTCCTCAGGGGAGTATTAAAAAAAAAAGTCTTGTATTTATTGTTGAACTTCCAGTCCAGATGGTGGCATAGGTAAACATGGTCCTTGCATTCTCCCACAACCATATCAAAATTACAACCATCATTCAGAACGACCTGAAATCTGGCTGAATGGAAGTCCTAGATTTAGAACCACCTGAAATCTGACTGAATGGAAGTCCAACAACTAGGGAATTAAAGCAGCAGCTACATCAAGACTGGTAGGAGGGGCAGAGACACGGAATAGCCTGGTCCCACACCTACAAGAGTTGGATAAAAATCGGGAGAGATACCTTGTCTGTAGAGGTCCCCCCTGAGGAGCAAGGTGCCCCAGACCCACAACAGGCCCCCAAGCTCAGGGTTCCAACACTAGGAAGAGAAGTCTCCATAACTTTTGA